GTAAAGTATCATAATAATTATTTTTACCTGAATAGACTTTTAGCAATGTTTGCTTTTGTATTTCCACGAAGAACCAATCCTAGAATCAAAAAGTACAAAAAAATAACAAAAACTAGAATAAAAGTGTGTATTCTACCTGCAAAATGTTTCCCTTCTCCTGAACCACTGCCATAAATATAACCTCCTCTAAAATAAAAATAAAATTTTTTTAAAATAATTAAAAGTGAATAATGCTGAACTAAGTTCTGGAAAAGGGACCGTGTAAAGTGATACTTCTGATATTTCTGATATTTCAAATGACTTTTGTGCAAAGGTGGCAATTCCCTTTTCACAACAGCACCATTGACATCTTTGTCTAATCAATAATGTGAAAGATATTGTCGTTTTTCTAGGTTCGAAACATATCATGATGTTTCATACATTTGTCATGCGTAAGCAATTTTAAATAGAAGCCACAATTGAAAATAATAGTTTTCAAAATTGTAAACAGAGATATCTAATTCATACTTGAATAGACAAAGCTTTTAAGGGAACTCTTGTAAATCAGACCTTGCGATCTTTGCATTGAGGTTCAGTTAAATTTACGCTTACAGTCTCTTTTAAAATAAAACTGCAGAGAAACGGTATAGAAACTATACAGTTTAGTAGCTAGTACCTTATGTTAAGGGTAGAACTGCTGTCTGTGTCAATACCATTTTGAGAACAATTTCTAATCTCAGAGTTGAACAAATTAATAGTGGATCCCTCTTGAGCTTTTATTCCTGAAATTTAAAATCTTTTTGGCACAATTAAAATTGGCAAACAATATTTCCTTGTATTGGATTTGAAAAAGTAATGTTGTGATTTATTTTAAATTCGACTTTTGTTCTTAAAAATATCTTAAAAAGGAGTATTAAGCTTTAAATAACATTTTTTTTATTTGTAAATAAGATCCTACCTGTTGAGCAGTTGTAAAGCACACTGTTAGATAAGATCACCGTAGATTGACTAAACAATTCAGCTATAATTTTTTTAATTTATTAATTAGGTCGGACAGGAACTGAGTTTTTGCCACAAACATAAATGTTCTAACTCCTATATCTCTGCATCCGGATTTCAAACTTAAATTATTTTATCTAACAGAATTCATAGTTTGAAATATCAAAGGTCACCGACATTGGATTGAAAAGAAATAGGGATAGGAAAATCTGAGTTTGTGGCAAAAACTCAATTCCTTTTGGTCAAAAAGCTGTAAAAATGGAAAGATCTTAGTTAAGCTTATTATACTTGTTGTCAATAAGGATTTTGTCAGAAAAAAATGACCTAATAATATTTACATTAACAGTCCCTTTAATTTGTTATTATCTACCTGTTAGAGAAGATTGGAGAGTTAAGCTTGATGTCGGAGAAAATACAATTGTTGATTAGAAGACGTAAACTTATATCTGCCACCTGATCAGATCCCTAAACACAAACTTTTTACCACCTTTTGACCAACATTACCGACCTATGATTCCCCCAACAGAGGGAGGATAGGTTACTTAACGTCCCTTGGAACAGTTAAGTAAAATAACCACCCGTTTTGCGAAGTTTTTGGGTAAAAATTGGCGCATTTTCATCTAAAAAGTCGATAAAATTATGTACAACTACTTTTTCGGGAAATTAAAAAAATTACTTAACCACAGGTTCCTTAGATCAATTTTATCTAATAAACATCCCTTGCTGCGCTCTGAATGTTTTGTCGACAAAATTAGTCAAGGAAACCCTTGGTAAAGTAAAATTCCCTTAACTTCCCTGTAAACAGTTGAAAATAATTAATAATAATTTCATTGTTGTGTTGACCCATAGGAGTGGGGTGGGGGTGGTGGTAGAAGATTTTTGTCTTTGTATTCTTAAAATGATGTACCAATTTTCAGAACCTTGGTTGTCAGTAGCTATGACTGAAAAATCATGATCCGCTGTATCTGTACCTGGAGAACAATAATCTGTTGTACTTTTAACTGGAGAATCATGACCAACTTTATCTATACCTGGCGAATCATGATCAGATGTATCTATACCTGGAGAATTGTGATAAGCTTTGTCAATACCTGGCGAATCATAATCACCTGTATCTATACCTGGAGAATCATGATGAAATTTGATATTTTTTTCCAAAAACAGAGGGTCGGAGAAAGTCGGCCCGGCGCCTAAGACTAGGTTCCCGACTCTAAGATTCTACTCGGGTGATAAGCTTTAACTTTACCTGGAGAATCATGATAAGCTTTAATCTTACCTGGAGAATCATGATAAGCTTTAATCTTACCTGCAGAATCATGATAAGCTTTAACCTTACCTGGAGAATCTCTGGATTCTGAAACTCTAGTTCCAGCAAGCTTTGATAAAATGCTTCTTCTGCTACTAGTATTCCTCCTGACTCTTCTGTGCCTCCCACAAATAAACTATCCCTAAAGATTTTAGATCATTTCACCAAATTGATCTTTAATGATTTAACTAAGATTCAAGTATGTATAAAGAGTTCATGCAAAAATTCATTACTCCCATTTATCGTGAGATTAACCTTATATGCGCTTTTCAAGGTACTAAAAAATCTAGGAGTTATTTTTTAAGATCGGCTTGAAAAATTGAACATGTAAAGACAAGATTTTTCGTAATTGTTTTCCAAAAATAAATTTTTCCCCCCGAAAAATCATTTGTTTTTAGCAATTCATCAAATATATAAACCTAAAAACATGTGCCGATGGCGAAGATGTCCGGTAAATTATTCTGAACTTATTTATATGTTCGCCTGTCGCCATCGATTTGCCGGAGACTAAATGTTTGCAGGGATGTTTTTTAGATATTTTTAGATCTTGTAGGAAATCATAATTTCTTTTTATTAAATGTACAAATGAAAAATCATGTTTTGAATGATAATGATTCTTTAAATGGTTAGTCTCTAAAAACTAAATTTTAAATTTGAAACTGCCTTTCCATAATTTCAAACAAATCACGGGGAGCTGTAGTATACATTTGAATTTCCGAGCCGGGTCAACCTTTCCGGTCCAAGTTTGTACTGTACCTNCTTCATATAGGTTGAATTTATTTTTACTAAAGGGCAGAGGTGCATTAAATAGAAATAATTTGAAAATGTTCAGATTTTCAAAAATATTTTTAACAGTTTTTTTTACCTTATTGTAATGCTTTCCGGTGAGATAATAAAAATATGAGATGCGCTAGATTTCATGATTTCTTCATCAGTGTCAGACTCAGGCAAAACATCAATCTTGTTTCTAAAACATAATAATCTTTTTTTCGGAAAATTGCAAATTCAAAAATGGAGAGCGTTAGGGTCAAGGTAAGGAGGTGTAAGATGGACAAATTAAAAAAAAAGTTCCATTCATACAATAAAGAGTTTTGCCGTTTGCACCCCACACCTAACTTTTAGAATTAAACATTTTTTTACTGTTTTATAGTACAGTGTCCCAAAAAACATGGGAATTCAGTGACGAATTCGATATCGTCTTTGTTGTGAATAAGCATTGTAATGCCTAATTTCAAAAGCCATAATATTATTATGTCTGCTAGAGTAAATTTTATGAAAAGGGTAAAAGACTGCAAAATGTGTCTATAATGTCTCCACAAGATGAACAGTGAAGACGGACAAGTTTACTCTGTATACTGCAATTTTCTTGTTTTACTAAGTTTAACCGTATGCAGTCAAAACATAAACAAAATGTGAACATAGCAGACGAAACTCTTACAGATTACAGCTTTCTCAGTAGGAATCACTATACTAAATCAAAGAATTATTTGAAAAGACGATATCGAATTCGTCAATGAATTCCCATGTTTATTGGGACACCCTGTATCTTGTATAAAAGCAAAAATTAATCCATACCTTAAACAAATATTCAAATTGTTACTTATAAGAGACAAAACATTTTTTCTTAGTTTACCCTTTTTTCAATTTTCCTTTTTTTAAGGGACTGTGAACATAATTTCAAGTAGATCTTCATTTTCAGAATGGCAGGGCCGATACATTATGGTACTTTTAAATCCTTATCTGAGTAACAATGAGGAATATATAAATGTTTTGAATTTGTAAATGTGTTAAATTTTGATGATTTACTTCATTGTTTCTGTAGCATACAATTTATATGATGCTTGTATATAGAAAACAAATGTGAAAATTATATATTTTTATTTAGAAAAATGAGGATAGTTTATTCATTGTTGATCAAACAAATGTTCCAAGGGTACCGGTGTGAATCAGATACACATCTCAATAATAATTGGAGGTCTCGTGAAGTAATGTTATTTTGTTTAGACAAACCATGGTTAAGGTTTGATAAATTTATTTTCGATAAAATGAAATTGCCTGTGATATGGGGATAAAGAGTTAATCTCTTTTTACAACTTTTATCAGATATCAAAATACTCAAAATATGAAGCATTTAATTGAAAACTTAGAAAAAGTACGTAAAACATAAAATTGAAAAGGAGAAAAAGAACATAAAACATAAAATTGAAAAGGAGAGAAAGAACATAAAACATAAAATTGAAAAGGAGAAAAAGAACATAAAACATAAAATTGAAAAGGAGAAAAATTATACTTATTATTGATCAAAGCAGTATAAAAAAAATCCGTTTTATGTGACTTAAAGAAATCTGTAGAATATTATTATAAAACGTAGAAAATCTATTTTCAGTTCCTTACTCTATTTAAATGAACAGTTAATATTGATGTATTAATTTAGCTATAGTTTCACTTTTTAAAAACTATATTATGAATCTTTAAAAAATTGTTGCTTACAGGAAAGTTTTCATGTGAAAAGAAGCATATGAAATTTTTAGTCCTGAGATTTTATGTATTTCATGTTCCAGAAGTTAAAGATTTTACTGAACAAACGATTTACAAAACAATCGTTCAGCGAGAAAAAGAACGAAATAGATGTAAAATTAACCATAATTTTAGGAAAAAACGACATAATTTTTTTATGAACGATTGAAAAAAATTGGTCGAATTCAACAACTATGAACGAAGGAGATGAAAAAAATATACGCGCCCATGTTCCAATCTCTACTCCTAATCCACCACTTGCCGAATCTCTATTCCTAATCCACCATGTTCCCATCTCTACTCCTAATCCACCATATTCCCATCTCTATTCCTAATCCACCAATTTCCCATCTCTAATCCTAATCCACAACGTTCCCATCTCTACTCCTAATCCACAACGTTCCCATCTCTACGCCTAATCCACCATGTTCCCATCTCTACTCCTAATCCACCACGTGCCCATCTCCATTCATAATCCACCATGTTCCTATCTCTACTTCTAATCCACCAAGTTCCCATCTCTACTCCTAATCCACAACGTTCCCATCTCTACTCCTAATCCACAACGTTCCCATCTCTACGCCTAATCCACCATGTTCCCATCTCTACTCCTAATCCACCACGTGCCCATCTTCATTCCTAATCCACCACGTTCCCATCTCTACAAGCTAATATTTGTATTTAACAATTCACACACAACTTTTCCTGTTATGGCTTTTTCTTGTATGAAGTTTTATTATAATTTGTCAAATTTGATTTTTCAAATCTAAAGAATACTCATTTTCAATAATGATTGTTTAGCTAAGAAATTACTAAAGTTTTAAAAGAAGAGAAAGATGTAACTGATAATTTGATAAGTAAAAGAGATAAAGATTTTTTTACCCTAAGCCATAAAAAATAATGTTTTAAAATAGGATTAAATGATATTTGTTGTTACTGACCTGAATTGCAATCTTGTCATAACTATACCACTACCCTTTGTTCTTTTCCCGCCAAATATTTGAAGAGTTGGATTTCCTTAAAATTTGAATAATGCTATTGTACGTGGGGGGAACCCCTAACCGCCATGAGCCTCCCAGATTTGCTATGCAGCAGCGAGCCTCCGCTATGCAGTGTATATTTCATACTAAAAATTAAAAAGTGTTTTACGAGAATTATAAAGGGAATACGATTAGATTTGAATAAATTTTTGTTTTAATTTTGATACCCTTTTTTTGAAAAATTATGCATGTAAGAGAAAATTCATGTATAATAAAGTTATTGATCAAAAGAATTATCTAAATTTTAAAAAAATAAAAGATAGAAATATTTCTAAAATCAACTATTTTAACAAATCAAATCGAATTCATTTTAATTTTTGATTTTTTTCATATCTTCCTTTTCGCCAAAAGAAACTTTTTAATTTTTAGTATGAAATTCGTACTGCATAGCGGAGGCTTGGTGCTGAATAGAAAATCTGGGAGGCTCATGGCCAACTGTACAGATGGGACACATAACACTATTAAATTGGAAGACGACATGAGACACGTAATTACAAATGACCCTCTATATTCGATGTAAAACGGTATCCATTAAACCTTTGTCTGATCAAGGACATATAAGATATAATACACAAATTTGTAAAAATTTATAACTATTCGAAAGTGGGATCTCTACTAAAGGGACAGGCGTGTTTATGCATTAGAAAAAATGAGGAAAATTAACAGAATTGAGGATGCCATTCTCCTTGTTACATATTATATCGAAAAGAAAATAAAGAAGATGGTACAGCTGTAAATCTGACATGCCATCATTAAACGAAGGGTCACTTAAAATTACGTCTTCAGTTGCTTTTAGTTCAGATCTTAGGATTCAAAGTTTTGCGACATTTAGTGTTTAACCCTATAAAGGCTGAGGGGTCTGAATCTATATATAGACGGGGGGAGGGGGCGGCCCATACGCCCCCTTAGAAAAAGGTCTTAGAGATCAGGTATAGGGTTGAAATGCATGTTCAAAGCCCAATTTTTCAAGGTCAGCTCATTCAGGGTTGAAAAAAATGCCAAAAAAAGATTTAGAATGTAAAAAATATTTTTTGTTTTGTTTTAATCAAATACTAAAGTGTGACGCATGTTTCTTCATCCAGTTTTCAATGGCTTTTTAAAAATATAGTTTTCAGATCAGTTTTCATAAAAAAGTTATGGGCTATTTTACTTTTTTTTTACTCAGACCGGACTTTTCACTTCCCTGTACCCTACCCTTTGCATAAAAAAAATTTAGAAAAAATCCTTTACATTTTTTTATTAAAATTCAACAAATTTCATATAATGAGAGTGATAGAGTAAGGGGCGCAAAATGCCCCCCCCCCCGCTTGTTTAGGGTTAAGTCTGCTGAGCAATTTTGTAAGGAAAAAAAGATTTTACAAATAGTTGCCTTTACCTTTACTAACGATGATGCATCCTCTTGAGCTTGCACCAATTAAAGAACATTCGGATGTTACATTATAGCCCTCCTCTCTACCAAGTAAATAAAATAAACATTATAGCCCTCCTCTCTACCAAATAAATAAAATAAACATTATAGCACTCCTCTCTACCAAATAAATAAAATAAACATTATAGCCATCCTCTCTACCAAGTAAATAAAATAAACATTATAAACTTTCTCTCTACCAAGTAAATAAAATAAACATTGTAGCCCTCCTCTCTACCAAGTAAATAAAATAAACATTATAGCCCTCCTCTCTACCAAGTAAATAAAATAAACATTATAGCCCTGCTCCTGGATATTATAATACAATCTTTTTCATTTTTTAACAAATACACTTTTTGTACAATTAATCCAAATATTAAAAGACATCAGAAGAGTTTTTAAATGTCGGCTTGAATAACTTTGTTTAGAATTATAATATAAGGATTTTATATGTAAATTAGCGCCCAGCTATATGAAGCTGTTTAATAACAACGTTTTTCGTATTTCAGGGCTATTAATTTTAAAGCAATTTTGACAACTTGGGAATATACAAGACAGCATCAAATATAAGTTTAAGGCGACATTTTATAAATTCTTCCGATGTCTTCTTATTTATGGGTTTAACTGTATATAACCTATTTTATTGTTTTGTCATATAATATCCTTCTTTTCTAGAAAATAAAATAAACCTGTCATAATTTCTCCCTTAATTTTTTCTGACATATATTATTACATTTCAGAAGGATTGCTGTAGAGAAATTTCTTCACTTTTTTAGACAGTTTAAAATTTTAGATAAACAGAGTTACCCTAAAAAGATAAGATTGATATAAGAAACATGGTTTGGAATTTATTCAATTATCAGAATACCAACTTCAACCAGGTTAATTCCAGGTCGTCATTTCTAAGGTCTTATTCTTTGTGGGTAGCACTGTATTTAAGATTTTTACTGGCATTGAATCGTTTTTTCTTCCAAAGAATCATAGTAATTATTACTGTTTACCTGTAATAAAACCCCTTTTCAATAAAAATTTCATCTCCGTCATTTGCGGCATTCAACGCTTCTTGAAGATCATTGAAATGCTGGTCGTCTTTGATTCCCTGCACATTCACTATTATATTTGCTCTGGCGCGGCATCTTTGCGCTTCCTCGCTAGTGGCGCCATCTGTGTCAAGCAGAAACTGTTCAAAGCAGGAGAAATAGTCTGATCTCTTACTTAACATTTTCATAATACTTCCAAATAAATTTAATTTTTTTGAAATATCAGGGTTGTAAAAATGTAAGGATCTGGCCGGATAATGGAGTTTGTCGTCACATCGTGTCTGCCGCTTCAGTAATTATAAATTTGCGGTACAGTCTAAACTGGGACTGCAAAAGTTGGCCCAGCTCAGATGTTCAAATGTACACCAGTTGTGCATACGGTAAGTCATCAATCTTAGAAAGACAAATTTTTTTCTTTATGCTTTGTTACAAAATTTATTCATTTGTTTAAAAAAGACTTAGTTTAACAGTGATACTAATGATTCATAAATACTAAAGTTTTTTTTTAGAAATAAGGTTTATTTTGATCCTTAGTAAAGGATTTTAATGCTTTGTTACGTAAAATAATTTGTTTAGGTTAAAAAAATTAAAGATTAATAAATTCTATGAAAATAATATATAGAAATGAAATGATCTAGCCGGATAGTGGAGTTTGTCGTCACACATGTCTGCCACTTTAGTAATTGTAAATTTGCGGTACAGTCTAAACTGGGACTGCAAAAGTTGGCCCAGCTCAGATGTTCAAATGTACACCAGTTGTACATGCGGTAAGTCATCAATCTTAGAAAGGAATTTTTTTTTATTTTAATGCTTCGTTAAAAAATTTATTTATTTGTTTAAAAAAGGACTTAGTTTAACAGTGATACTAATGATTCATAAATACTAAAGTTTTTTTTAGAAATCAGGTTTATTTTGATCCTAAGTATGGATTTTAATGCTTTTTTACGTAAAATAATTTGTTTAGGATAAAGAAATTAAAGATTAATAAATTCTATAAAAATATTAAACAGAAATGAAAGATTATGTTACTTTTGTCAAAAAATAATCTTCTTTTTATTTGCTCTAATTCAAAAAATCTGGATAACTCCAATCTAATAAATGTAAATTTATAGAATGTTTCCTGAAGGGTATTGGCCATCCTGGGTCTTCAGCTATAGATGAATTACAGGACTCAATAGCTTTCCTTAATATTAGCAGTTTAATGGGGTTCTTCACTATTTTCACAGAAATAAAATTAAGCAAATAAAGAAAGTGAGAAATCGTCTTTAAATTCTTATTTTTTTCTCAACCTGATGAGGTTTAGACATCTTATATTTCAACCTTTTATCAAAGATAAAATTGTCAAAGTTTGAAACAACAAAGATCCGCGCCATCAGGATGTTTACTTATATTTGCATTATTATCATTGATTTGTACATATTATTCATCAATTTTTATGTGATAATTGATTAATACATGTTTTAAAGGATTATTGTTTACATACAATTATTGGTCTCAAAAACAGATGCGTTCTAGATTTTTAGCCTTTTAAAAAGTGCATTTTTTAGGTAAAATCCTTATAAATTTGGCACAGGGGGCGAGAGGGGTTCGTCAATGAATTTTTTTTCTCTTTACTATCGTTTAAACCTTGTAAATTGGGCCTAATATCCTGAAATGTGCTCGGTCCCCTTTCCACAGATATTAATAGCTTTTTTCACTAACTAACCGTCGTTTTTTTATAATAAAAAGTATTGCTTGCAGGTACAATGCCCATGTATTGGGNTAACCTTCAAAATATACTCGAAATGTACTTTGTCCATTTTCCAAGATTTTCATGAAAATTCAAACATTTTTACATATCATTTATTTTAAAAAATCCTCAATTTTATCATTGAAAATTCGTAGTCTTTGGAAAAGAGAACGAGCACATTTTCGTCCCCGCCCCCATTTTATAAGAATTACCTACTAGGACCACTTTTCAGCGCAATACAACGATGTTTAGTGTAGGCTAAAAAGCTAAAAAATACATGATAGTACATCATTACCTTGGATTACATAAACCTTCATAAGCCAGTGCTTGAAACATATACAGTGCACTAAAACAGGATTAATGTAACAAATATAATCTAAACCAGAAAACTGTTTAATAGGAAGACGATACGAAAAGCAATACTCAAGTGCTGAAGTGTATGTGATGTTGTAATAAAGCAAATAGTTTTATCAGTATCTTATATTAAATCACTTATTAAATAAAATGGGTCGGCAGACTTTCTGTGTCTCATGCTCATTGGACTATTTTAGATCCTAACTTGAGTCTAAAAGTCTAAAAGTCCTCTAAATCAAATTCAAAATTTACTTTTTCGGCATGGCAATGAATCTTTACGATGGTAACTCTTTAAATCAATATAACGAAGACGACTTTCGATTTCAATTTTGATTTATATCAAGCTTTTAAAAAGCATGGATAAAACACACAAAAAAAGAAAACCTGTCAATTAAAAAATGTTTCTTTTTGATTACTTGTAAATTGTAATTCGATAAAAGCTAGAACAATTAAAACTTTTTAAAGAATTTGGTCTTTATTATATGATTTAAAAAAAACAAGACATCCGTATGTATATGTTGCCTGTAGCCGGCCAAACGGTTGGATCGAATGGGCTGACATTTTTTTTTGTGGACACTCATGGGTGGCCGGGGGTGTTATAGGCTAAAAAAAATTCAGCTAGTATAATATAATCGCTTACCACCGTAGTAAGCTTTAATTTAATTATTCAAAAAAAATCCAACCTAAGAGTTGTTTTTTTATTTTGTGTTCTTTTATAAATCATGTACTCTCCGTAACCCGCTAATCCTTGTACATACTTGGTTACATCCTGTACAGTATACATGCATTTCTTGCTTGTATTGTTATTTTATAATGCTATCATACTTCTAACACGATTACGAAGGAATTATGTATTTTCCACAAACTTTTCAACCCTTTTATCTTTTTAACCAAATGTCGTAGATCCAGATATTTCAAACTGCGAATTCTGATATAGGGTGTCCCAATAAACATGGGAATTAAGAGACGACATAAATATCGTCTTTTATTTTCGATAATTGTCAAAAAGTGCAAAAAAAGATCGAACGTCTAATATGCTTTCCAAAATGTGGTCAACCTTCTTTGTATTTTTGAAACTGACGAAGATATGAGACATTTTAACATTATTGTTGATTTTTAATTAACTGTGAATCCGGACAAATTTCTGTCTCTGTTTGAAGGCGTTGTTAAATGTTTGAACTGTGATACTACAAAATTATTGTTAAATGTTTTAACTGTGATACTACAAAATTACTGTTAAATGTTTTAACTGTGATACTACAAAATTACTGATAATGTTTTAACTGAGATACTACAAAATTATTCTTAAATGTTTTAACTGTGATACTACAAAATTATTGTTAAATGTTTTAACTGTGATACTACACAATTATTGAGGTTTGAACTGTGATACTACAAAATTATTGTTAAATGTTTAAACTGTTATACTACAAAATTATTGTTAAATGTTTTAACTGTGATACTACAAAATTATTGTTAAACGTTTGAACTGTGATACTACACAATTATTGTTAAATGTGTTAAATGTGATACTACAAAATTATTGTTAAATGTTTGAACTGTGATACTACAAAATTATTGTTAAATGTTTTAACTGTGATACTACAAAATTATTGTTAAATGTTTTAACTGTGATACTACACAATTATTGTTAAATGTCTAAACTGTAATACTTCAAAATTATTTTTACGAAATAATCCCGCTTGAACAAAGAAGTCGTCATTTAGTTCACATGTATATTGGGGACACCCACAAATAATTTAAAAGTTTAAAATATCAAAGACTTACACCGTCAGGTTGGAAAGATATAGGGCTTAGGGAATTTGAGTTTGTGGTAAAGACTTAATTTCTTTGATAATGAAAAAGAAATGCTTTAAGATGTTTTAATAAATATTTTTAAAAATTTTCCCTCAAAAAATCTCATTAAAAAAATGGGACTTTAACATGCAAAATTGCATGCTTTTTTCAATACTTTTGAAACGGACTGAACAGGAAAAATGAAAGGGGGTATAGGCTATAACAAGCTAATCACTTTAGCTCTTGATCGCATGAAAGTTATATCTGATGTCCCTTTTTAATATATCACATAGATGCAGACAGCTCTGAAAAGCTGCATCAAGTTTAATATATCACATAGATGCAGACAGCTCTGAAAAGCTGCATCAAGTTTTAAACTTAGTTACACGCTTAAAGTGTCACAACGCCTTGACTTTTGATTTTAGATAACTAAATTACTTTTACTTTTCGTTGCCCTAGACAAATGTACATTTTAGAAATATTTAGAATTATTTTAGAAGTATGCGACACTTGCTTCTAACTTTAGTTTTTAACAAGAAATTGCAAAAATTCTCATCAATTTTTGAGTGGGAGCTTGCGATGTTTCGATGACTGTGATTTATGGAGAAAAATATAAAATAGCGACGAAGGAAAGATAAAAAACCCCATCATCAATTCCGTGTTCAATAAATGCATTCCTGAAATAATTTCAGCGCTTCTCTGAATCTTGAAGTTCTAAGCTGATGAATAGCAGTTCCAAACCAAACCTTGGCATCGGCGTCATGCAAACTTAATAAAAATAGAAAATGAAAAATAATGCCATATTATGAACAATACTAATATATTCAATAACCTTGATTATGATCATAATAATTCATGGGACATTAGTTCCAACACGATTTGGCCAATTATTAAGAAATTGACCAAATTTCCTCAGTTTACCATTTAGGAGTATATAAATTACTCAATCCAAATCTAGTAGAAAACTACTTTATTTGTTCAAAAATGGAATTTTATTTGAATTGCAAATAATAAAAAAAAACGGGAATTGTTAAGAAAATAAGATGTGTGTCTAAAACGCGACATATTTGTGAATGAAAAAGGAAACCTTAAAAAACGGTGTAGATTTTGAAAGGTTGCTAAAATTTTTTTTAAAGAAGTTTTTCTCAGTAAGGGACGGGGTAACGGGATCCAGTATGAAATATATTACCAAACCATGCTTTCCATAGACACTGAATCCTCATGTTCTCTTCTGCTCTCTTCAGCAACCTAAATCATGCTTTATTAAATACTCAAGGTCTGATAAAAGCACTACAATCCAGCCAGAAACCTGATAATAAGAAATGGAAACTTATTTCTGATCAAAACTGTGAAAAATACTGACTTTTTAAGGTACAAAAGTGTTTTCTTATGACAATTTCCGCGTGTTTTTGCAGAAGAAATCCTTTAATAGAGAAACCACAATTAAAAATTATAGCGGTTTCAAAAAGAAAACTAATATCACTAAGATCTTGTCAGGCTACAGTTGTTCCATAAACGTGCTGGGTCGACTGGAATCTACACTAGATATACATATTATTCATGGTGTTAGGCATTCTCTGGTGTGTGATTTCCCAAGTGACAATTTTTCAAGTGGCAACTCCCCAAAGGTTAGATTTGGCCTTCTCAGGCGCTGCAGGCTGCAATGAGAGCCGAGCGCTTTGGGTAGGATAGTTTAGGGGACCGAAAGCTGTGACTAGAACATCAGGGGCCGAGCACTGGAGCTAGAACAAACTTAGTAGTATTAAAAGAATTTTCGGTTCCTTTTTAGAAGCTGAATAGTTTGATGAGAGGCTTTACAGTGCTTCGCAGCACTGTCGGTTGCACCACGTGAAGGCTCTCTCTTGGCAACCTTGGTAAATCCAACCAGCCTTCCCACTACCAGCCTATAGACCCATCCTATCGAAGCCTCTAATTTCCTTGGACTGGAAGAATTCGAAGATCCTGACCCAGGATGGAGCTACAACAACAAAAATTGCACTTATGGGAAGTTGCCACTAGGGAAATTACCCTTGTCAAGTTGCCACTAGGGAAACTACCCTTGTCAAGTTGTCACTAGGGAAACTACCCTTGTCAAGTTGCCACTAGGGAAACTACTCTTGTCCAGTTTCCACTTTGGAAAAAACATTTTATTATACCTTTGTATCCAATGGAGTCTCCTGTATGTCTAAATGCTTATATTCCTGCTTCCTGCTTAACTTCCTGCCCTTCTGAACCAGAATATTCCGGTTCCGTTCATTTGGCTTCTTGTTCAAAACCATACTAAATTAATTATATTAATTTGAAATTTTTTTTATTGACTAGGCAATTTTTGTAAACTGTACTGGTTTTTGCAGTAAACATTTTCGTAGATTTTGAGGGCTTTTCCATGTTCAATAAGAAAATATCTAAATATATTTTTTTGTTTCGCAATTTTGAAGTACCGGACTGACAGCTAGAGTAATTTGTACATTGAATAATTTGTACAGTTCAGGTTAAAACTATAAATAAACGGCAAAATGGACAGTACACAAATGAATCATCCTTCTAGCAAACAAACATCGTATTATATTTACCGACCTTGTCCTGTTCAGTTTTACTCCTTTACTTCCTGTATTGATCAGCTGATTTGTTCACAGCTGATAACTGATTTCAAGGATTTTCTTATTTTTGTCTTGGATTTTCATGAACATTACAAATTCTTCATTTTTATCACTGCAACAAAAAAATGTTTTAAATGAGAAGAGTTGTATCATTCTATAATGTGTATGAAGTATACTGTGTATTTGAAACTGTTTAGCTGTAGACCCAGCTAGCCGTGAGCAGGTCAGCTTATTACTGAGAAAGCCAATACAAAACAAGGATACTTTACATACACACCACCCACCGGTCAAACAATCATCCCTATAACAATTCTTTCTCATTCAACATTACCATCCTATTTTATATAAGACAAATTAAATAAATATATATCTTTATTTTCTGAAAAAAAATCTTTATTATTATTTGAATTGTGTAAGAAAGAATTCATTTTTTTAACTATAAACTATAAACATGACAGTTGATAGATGACTTTATAGTCACGTTTGATCTTTGAGATAATTTTTGGGATTGATTTTTAGCCTAATTTTGCAAATTACAATTTGTTTGTTTATGTTTTGACTGCATACGGTTGTACTTATTAAAACAAGAAAACTACAGTATACAGTAAACTTGTCCGTCTACAGTCTACACTATTTTTCTTGCAGTAACATTAACGACTCATCTTTACAGCCATTCACCGTTTTCATAAAATGAACTCTAGCCACGGGCAGCCGTATAGTACATTTGAATTTCCGAGCCGGGTCAACCTTTCCGGTCCCAGTTTGTACTGTACCTAGCTCTATAGACAGGACTAACCGGTGCAACAAGGTTAACGCAGTCAGACTTTATGCTTCATATAGGTTGAATTTACTTTTACTAAAGAAGCAGAGGTGTGTGTAGCAGACATATTAATATTATGGCTTTTGTACTTAGGTATTACAATGCTAATTCATAACAAAGACAATATCGAATACGTCACTGAATTCCCATTTTTATTGGGACACCCATTATTTATTATTTATATTTATTATCACAAAGCAATAAAGTTTTTGAAAATATACAAAAAATAGACTTGGGAAAGAAACTAGTCATACACAAAATACAGAACTACTAAATTCAATAACATAGCACTGAGTTACAAAGATGTTCTAACGGATAAAGGAAAGAAATTATGAAAGTGTCATACAATAAAAAATTCACTGAGTCAGGACAAAATTACAAAGGTTTTTTAACAGATTAAGGACAGAATTACAATGGTTTTTTAACAGATTAAGGACAGAATTACAAAGGTGTTTTAACAGATTAAGGACAGAATTACAAAGGTTTTTTAACAGATTAAGGACAGAATTACAAAGGTGTTTTAACAGATTAAGGACAGAATTACAAAGGTTTTTTAACAGATTAAAGGACAGAATTACAAATGTGTCCTGCATTAACATATTCAGGACAGAGTTATTAAGGTGTCCTACAATAACATATTATTATTCAGGACAGAGTTATGACGAAGTCCTACGATAAACATAGTTAGGACAAAATTACCAAGGTGTCCTACAATAAACATATTCAGGACAGAATTACGAAGGTGTCCTACAATAAACATGTTTAGGACAGAATTACAAAGTTGTCCTACAATAAACATGTTTAGGACAGAATTATAAAGGTGTCCTACAAAAAACATGTTTAGGACAGAATTACAAAGGTTCCTGCAATAAACATGTTCAGGACAGAATTACAAAGGTATCCTACAATAAACATATTTAGGACAGAATTACAAAGGTGTCCCACAGTAAACATATTCAGGACAGAATTACAAAGGTGTCCTTTAACAGCATATCCAGGACAGAATTACAAAGATGTCCTACAATAAACATATTCAGGACAGAGTTATGGTGGTGTCCTAACATATTCTGGACAATATTACAAAGGTGTCCTAACAGATTCAGGACGTGATTACAAAGGTGTCCATAAGAAGAATAGATTTACAAAGGTGTCCTACAATAAAATATTCAGGACATAATTACAACGATGTCCTAAGACATTAAGGATCCTTAATTGCAAAGGTGCCCTACATTAACATATTCAGGACAGACTTATGAAGGTGTCTATTATAACATATTTAGGACAGAATTACAAAGGTGTTTTAACAGAGTAAGGACAGAATTAAAAAGGGGTCCTACAATAAACATATTTAGGACAGAATTAGTAAAGTGTTCTACAATAAACATATTCAGTACAGATTTAAAAAGGTGTTCTACTATCAAATGAAACAGGACAGTGTTCTAATGCTAGAGCTAGATAAGCTGGTTTTCTTGCTCCATAATTACTTGGTTTCCAAATTTGATAGCCTCCTCCTAAACAAAACAAAATGAAAATGGAATACTCGACCTAATTTCATCTATATATAAATTTTGCTTGTCTGTTTGTATTCAATAAACTTGTTTGGGATCCCAGAAAAGGATTATGAATGATAAAACTTTCAAATATTTGTCTTCATCATAATTCAATTTTCATCAAATTTTTGAAAATTTTGAAAATCCATGATTTTTTTTGTTAAAAACCGCGAACTTTTTTTGTTTTGTTTTACGATGACAAAGAGAACATGTTCACAATTAAAATAGAAGATGGGCGCGAAAGCTAGTATTTTAAATTTCCAAAGCAAGTGATTTTTTCTTGCATGCAAGTACAAGCACTAAATAAAAAAGTTGAACCCATAGGCTGAACCTCCAGTTCGCCCCTGATATGCTTACCATCCTTAGTTTTGGTAGATCCATGGTAGAAGTGAACTCCGTAAGAGTTTTTAAACACATTCTTCCAATCCTTTTTCGTCTGTTTAGGATCATATAGATTGCCAAACTGTATCCAAGGAAACGGATAGAAAGATCTAGAAAAAAATCAAAGAAAATGAATTTTTTTGTCACAAGCTCAAATATTATAATCCCTATATCTGTGTATCCTGATGGTGTTAACCTTTGATATAACAGATTTCCTAGTTTAAAATATCAAAGATCTATGCCATCTGGTTGCAAAGGTATCAGGATTATTAAAAACTTTGAGTTTGTGGTAAACACACACTTTCTATGTCAATAATAGAATAAAACAAGACCACTCCTGTATGCCGAGTCCATTAGCGCCTGATCCAATTCTGAACCAATTGAAATAGCATGGCGGTAACATCTATCTCATTAACCAATTAGAGATATGAATCCTTCAATCGGCGCTATCAGTAAATGGAAATATTCATGTCTACTGAAACTCTAGTGCAACTTCATCAGGCAAAACTGAATTGTCTTTAAATCTAACACTTTTTTATGTTGATATTTAACCGCAAGAAATTCAAAATGTTCACAATTTTAAAAGGTCAAAAACAGTGTTAGCAAAAATGTTCCACGCTTGTAACATAATTATTAAAAATATTATCTAGATTTATATAATAAAGTTCTTCGCTCATATATTTGTATATTTTTATATTTGTGTATCTGTATATTTGTTTATGGATTTAACAAAGGCCAAACAAAACTCAGAAATCTTTTCTTTATTTTTTAATTTGATCTTTTTTAAATTTCCACGAGCAACGCAGGGACAGCTAGTATTTTCTCTTATTGAATTTTAGACTCAAATATTTGTGCAGACCTGTGATCTAACAGTTGAGCCCCCTCACATCTATCCCTAGATATCTTCTCAACTGTCATATCTGTCTCTCTAGCTGTCTCCAGTCCACAAATTAACATTAAACATCTAAACGTACAGAGTTTTTAGCACATTTAGGGAAAAAAGCATTTTTTTAATCTTTTTTTTAAAAAATTGATATTTAAATAAAACTTTGAATAACAATTGATTGTTTAAAAAACATATTTTATAAATTACGATAATGATAATATGATAATATTTAAAATTCTATGTTGATGCTGGACCAAACCTCATAGAGTTGATAAAGTAGATGTTAGTTACTACACACTGAAAATATATTTCGGTCTGGGTTGACCCTCGTCAGCTATAACGATATAATAACCATCAAAATCAATAATTAAAAAATGTTTGAAAACCGTCAGAAAATAAACAAACAAAAAGTTTTTTTATCAAAAAAGGGGCAAAAATGGAAAGTTTTCCGATGATAATATATTTACCTGTTGAGTAGATCTGGACCGTTAGCTGCCCAAGAATGGGGTTGGTAATTTACAAAAAAATTGTTTATTGCACATTCAAGAACCCTGAAATTATACAATGAATTTTAACTATTTCGACTTTCTTGTTAACTTATGAAAAAACATATTGCTTGGTTAATCATTTCAAAATTAGCCACATTGCCGCCAATTTAGAACACTTTCAAAATTTGAGTTTTATATCAATTTGAAATTTTAGAATTACAGAATTATAGTGATCATGTTAAATATCACTTTGATAGACTCTTTAAACGCTTTGATAGAATAAAATTAACCGTTCAAAAAGCAAAATGATATTTATGACAGCAAAAATGTTTTATCTGGATATCACAAAATTTTAAGGTGAATTATTTTAAAGTATTTTCTAGCATTTTGGGTTGACAATGAAACATTTCGCTAATTCTAACTTTTTTTTAGAATTATTGAGTTCTAAAATTTTGATCGACCATTAACCCCCCAGCTTAGCCTTTTTAAATGCACAATAATTCAAGCCAACCACCAAACAAAAAGATAAACAAAAGAATTTTATATAAGATTTAATCATTACCTATGTCCTTTTTCAAAATGGAACATTGCATTACTGATTTTATGACCTTGAAGTAATTGCCCTTCGTCATTATATTTTTCTTCATTCACCTATTAAAGATAAAAAAGTACGTAGAATAAAAGTTTCAAAATTTAATTTAAATTTTGAATCAACAAAATTTTAAAAACTCAGCCAATAAAATAAGCCAAAATATTTGAAATTTGGTGCACCGGTTAATTAGTGACCTCTGATTGGTCCTTAGCCGACAAGCAGTACAACAAAGAAGAAAAAAAGTGGATTAAGAAGGTGTCCAAATATTCAGATTAAGTGATGAGGATTAAAGGTATCCAATTCTACCGCTTTTAGCTCAGAGCTAAACCAACTTAAGATTAAATCAATCTTAAAATTAATAAAAAGAGAAGACTAAGAAATGATCTCGATATCCACAGCTCTTAAGTTTTCAGCTCAGATTATAAAAAATAATTGGTTCTTAATAATAATAAAAAATATTGGCACCTGGTCACTGGCAACAACATTCTTCAAGTCCTTCAGAGATCTGAAAATATTCTTTTTTGATCCAAAATAGTTGAATTCATGTTGACAACAAAAGCTTTTCAGGCGCAGAAACAAAAGTTTTCGAGGTATGATCTGAAGTTTTAATTTTGTCTAATACTTATATTTTTGCAACTTGATTGGGTAAAATCTTAATATTTTGAATTGTGCTATCTGATCTAACAAAACTCAAAGTTTTAAATATCAAAGGTTTACGACATTGGGTTGCAAAGATATAGGGATAAGAAATTAAGTTTGTGGCTAAGACTCAATTCCTTTATATAAAGCTGCATGTACTGCAGTGAATAGTTATTTACAGGGTGTTCCACGAAACATGACAATAGCAAGACGACTTGAAAGTCGTCTTTGAAATTTGAATTTATTTGTGACAGAAAGAATTTTTAAAATGTCGTCTTGACAACACCTAAATTTGAATTGTAAAAGATAAAGAATTAGCTATAAAATATAAGGAAACAGTTTTAAAGAGCTCCATATACATATTCAACTAAAAAACTATATATCTGTTGCATTCTATTATCATAAGAAGACGACATTTTTTTACCTTACAACATAAAAGATTAAAGGGTTAATTACCCACTTCTCGTAAGGGAGAGGGGAGGTATAAACAGATTAAGTTTTAAATATTTTCACCTGATGATGACGTAATCAGTGTCAGCATAGAACCCTCCGAATTTGTATACAAGTAACAATCTCAAACCATCCGCCATATGTGTGTATCTAAAAATTGTTGTTCTACACTGCAGAATCTGTAAAGTGTTAGAACATTAGGCTCAAGGTTTAAATTTGGGAACAGGGTTCCCCACAAAGGATGAGACTTTTCCCTATATTTAACTTTCGCTTCAATTCTGTAATTTTTTTCTTCGCCTAATCATTTAAAAGAGCATAACATATTGCAGAATACAAATGTAATCTTAGAAACGTCATATTTAAAGTCGTCTTTACTGTCTCATCATGGGTAACCCTGTATCACATTCAACCTTTAGATCTTCATTTTTTATTTAAATTTTAATTGTTAACAATTAAAACTTTCGAATCACAAGTTTGCAAGTAGTTAAAGAGAAGCATTTTAAATTGTTTACTTTTCTTTGTTTCCATGTTTGTGTGTATTCAATCCTTGCTGTTTAAAAGCTTGATATCGAAAGTCGTCTTCATTATATTAATATAAATATGTTTTAAAATATGATATTTTCTATGTTTTTGGCTTGGGACAAATATATATATTTGATTTGATTTGATTTTGATTTGATAATTGCCTACCACCGTACATTTTTTTTCGATCAATTATTTTTCGGGATTTTAAATTTTAAGAAACATTTTCGATGTAAGACGACATTAAAAGATGTGTTGATAATTGGAGATACCTGTAATCGCTGTTTTTCATTACAGAACTTGTAAAAAATCCTTCCATTGCAGTTCCCTGCATGAATAGTTATGACTTATGAATCTATAATTATTTTTTATGAGAACCTAAGTTGAGTGGATCTATTTTANCCTGTATATATACATACACAATATGATTAATCACCTTTGCTAATTCAGAAAAATCAAGATGATAGATTTCCATCTTATTTTCAAACCTGTAAAAGAAATAAAAAATATAAAAATAAATTTAGATAACAAATTGAGTATCAAAGTTATGATAAATTTTTTTTTTTCTTCCTAATTTCTAAGCTTTTCAAAGTATAGGTCTGCATGATCTTTTACAATTTGCTAAGATATTGAAATTTTATATATATTTGAAGAAGTCAAGCAGCAAAATGCAGACTTATTTTGAAAAATTATTTGAAATTAAAAAAAATTATATTTGACCTGTTTACTGCCTGGCAAGTTGTATTGTCTGATAAATCTAGATATTTACCAAACCTTACCATCACTACTGATAACTCAGAGTTTCTAAAAAGAAATAAAATATTGCCGCTATCGTTGCTAAAAATTGTTTATTTTTTGCTAATGCGATTTTTGGATTTTTTGGCTTTATAACCTTATTGTCAATGAAATATCAAGTTGGATTGTTTTCTATAGTTCTAATACAATTATTAATTGGTGCTAGTGGGTGGACTATTCATAAACATGTTTATCTCTTTATCTCTTTTACTTGAAACAGTGCGCCATTTTTATTGGACTCCAACAACAAAAACTATTCCCACATTGTTCTGTTTGAATTAGGGAATTTTCAAAGACTGAAAATGCCAAAAAAAAATGTCAGGCAAAATTTTTTAATTTATACCAGCCAAAAACCTTTCCTGGGGGTCATTAATTAAACTCAGGCAAATAGTGGCCACAAAATATTAAACACGATCTGTAAGTTGAAAATTTCAATGAATAATTATAACCTGAGTGCTGACTCCAGGGCACATAGTTCTCTAGGTGTTAATGTCTCCTTGGGTCCGCTCTCAATGAAAAATATTGTATTTGATCCTAATATTAGATTATTTTATCATTCATCATGTTGTATTTTGTTATCTTGCCTTGGTTTTAGTTCGGGCCTAAAACTTAGATTTTGTAGTTTCTTAACATATTTGCAATTAGGGTTTCAGTGAAAAGGGTAGTAATCGCTTCGAGAAAATTTCTCAAATTTTTTTTTGGCCGAAAATTTCGCATTTTTTGGCATTTCGTTTGCTCACGAAAAATTAGAAAATTTTAGTTTTTGCGCAAAAAAATGTAAACTTTTCTTGAAATAAAAAAGTGAAAATTTTGCGAGATCTCAGATTAGAGATTTCCACAAGTATTTTTGCGCAGTTAATTGTTGCAGCTACAACACTTATGATTTTCACAAAATTAATTTTTTTGCGAACAAAAATTTTTTGCGCAAAATTTCGCATCAAATTTAACCGTTTTATCATCCTAGTGGACCGTTTTATCATCCTATTGGACCGTTTTATCATCCTAGTGGACAGTTTTATCATCCTAGTGGACCGTTTTATCATCCTAGTGGACCGATTTTATCATCCTAGTCGACCGTGTTATCATCCTAGTGGACCGTTTTGTCATCCTAGTGGACCGTTTTATCATCCTAGTGGACCGTTTTATCATCCTAGTGGACCGTTTTATCATCCTATCATCCTAGTGGACCGTTCTATCATCCCGGTTGACCATTTTATCGGCCCCACTGATTGATTTATCATTGTGGACCAATTTATTATTCCGGCTCAAATTTTTTCATCCCAGTGTCCAGCTCAAAAAAAACAGCAATTACCACTTTATCTTCTTTTGATCCCAGTTGACCGCTTTAGCAACCCGGCTAACCTATTGAAAATCCCGCCTGATCCTTTTAGCATACTTCTTTATCATCTCGACTGACGACTTTATCACCCCAGCTGACGACTTTACATCCCGGCTAAAAGACTTTATCTTCCTAATATATAGTTGTACACAACTCTTTACCAGTACGTTTTACTGCTTTTTTTAACAGATGGCCCAACAAAAGTTTAAATACCATTACAGACAGTGTGTCATCTTATGCTTTACGGGACACACTGTACCCTTACATACAGTGTATACATTGCCATGACAGTTTCTAAAGGCAAATATCATACTTTGTCATCTTATGCTTTACGAGACACCCTGTACCCTTACATACAGTGTATCCCATTGCCATGTCAGTTTATAGAGGCAAATATCATACTTAGTCGTCTTATGCTTCACGGGACACCCTGTACCCTTACATACAGTGTTTCCCATTGACATACTATTTAAAAAAAGCAAATATCATTATTGGTCTTTATTAGATTCTTATGCTTTGCGGGCCACGATGCAACACTAATTTTTGTTACAGTCGTTGTCGTCGTATATTATATATTATATATATAAATACAATGAACACGAAAATTTATATTTAAATGTAAACTTCTAACACCAAAACACATATTAAACATGTAATCAACGGGAAGTTGTCAAATCAATAGCATCTCTTTGTTTACGAATATACTTGTAATTTGAATAATGTTTATTAGGATTCGAAGCATTATTAATAAAATCATCTTCATTATATACATAGATATAATAAAATGTACATATTTATTTCTAATTTTCCTTGTTGTGCTAGTACGGAGGTAAACAGGATTAAAGAAATGTAAACAAACATTATCAACCAGATATGCAGAAAATAAAAAAAAAACCTTTTCAAAGTTTTTTATTTATCACATTTTTCTGAAAAAAAGCTTATTTGTTAAAACAATTAGACATTACTATCATCATATACTATAACTTTTATCCTAAACACAAATACATTGTACGTTTCTTTTTTTTATCCTACAAAAATCTTTTCCTTTTTTAATGAATTTGAGCAAGAGGAACAAAAAAGTTTAGAATTTTAGATATGTAACCAGATATATTTGCTTTCTGCATAAAATCAAAGTTTGAGAAGCTACGAGGTCACAAAGTCGTACCAATAATGTCCCATTAGATTTAACCTGCTCATTCTGTTTAGTTTGCACTGTTATCTTGCCAGGCAAAAAACGTGCTAGGTCGACTCTACACTGTGTAGTTCAGACTGCACAGTACGACTGAGTACATATACAGTAAATGGTGTACCGACCTGGATCATTCAATTTTAAAGTGGGGTCGCAGTGCAGTGGTGCAAGTTTTTTAGGAAAAATCTCTAAAATAAAATTACGTTGTATTAGCGCCCTTGCTGCTCTAATCTGAAGGGTGGACTATTGTTCAACTTCCGCTCAGTTGTATTTAGAGATATGAACGCTGAATAAAGTACCAGTGATGTCAATGGAGATGATTTATATCAGTACAGTTGAGTGACATTAACGCAACATACCACAACATAGACATCAGAGAAACTCTAATCAAATAGAAACTGTAAAAAATAATTTTGGTGTTTTTGAAAATATCCCGGTAAAATGAAATTTTCATGTTTTTGTGATATTTTCTGTTCCGTTCTACTGCGCTCAGTATATAGATGTTGATTTTTTGTATAAAATTCAGTCAGTAGAGCGGACACGGTCGAGATAAACACAATTATAAAAAAAATCGGCTGTTTTTTTTCTTTTAAAAAGTGATTGTGCTAAACAATATGATACTGGAACCCGCAATTAAAAAAAATTGGGGAAAATAAGACTCAGGTCTAAGCTGTCAATAAGATTAATTAAGACTCAAGCTTTGGGATTAAAGTTCTAATGATACACGCAATTAAGGCTTTTTTATTATAATCACCCTGCTACACCCCTTTCCATCCTTGTTTGCACACCTTTGCCAATTGGAACGACAACTCTACAAACGTTACTGATTGTGGCAAAAAAAAATCATTATTTCTAGAAAGAAAAATAGTAATAAAGGACAAAATTTGATAAACTAATTTTTTTTTCTCGGGTGACAATAAATCTAATTATTAAAACCCACTTTATTGTCCAAAACCAAAACTGAAAGTGGGACAATAAAATTGATTTAAAAAAAGCTTTCAGTAATTGAATCGGGATGAGGATGAAAAACTATGTTATCACTATGGATTTGATAAAGTAGTACTAAATAGAAAATCTAATTTAACCATGAAAATTTACTACTTTTTTAAAGTAAATATTTTGAATAATATATGAGTCAACTTTATAACCACATGTTCGGAACAATCTTTAAACTTACTGTTCGGTATTCCATATATGTTACATATAGTATGACTATAATATGACTAAGCAAATAGATTATACAAGTACAATAGGTGGCAGTAGAGAAATGAACCAATTATACACGACGGCATAAGTGTCAAATATAACAAGGAAACCGAAATTTTCTGACATAATCGTTGACATGTTTTCCAAAATTAAATAAAAAGTGTAAAAACAGAAAATAAAGAACACTTAGAATTACAATTATTTTACTGTAAGATAAGCACCTTTATTTCAAAACTATCACTATTATTGATAATTTTTTCGGACACAAAAATTCAATTGACACTTGTGACGTTAGAATACAGCAGTACTGAGAGTGTACAAATTCTACGTGGTCATCTATTGTACTAGAATCTATTTGGACTAACTTAATAGTAAAAGTTAAAAATTATGATTGTTCAGAGTTTATTTCGCATATTTCGCGAAAATTAATTAAGCAAAAAATACTAAAAACAATGCAAAATTTCAGGGAAATACTTTTCGCGAAAATTGTTTCCGTAAAATTTTGCTAAAAAAAATTCCGCGAAAACCATAGCTGCAAAAATTAATTGCGCAAAAAACTTGTGGAATTCTCTACTCTGAGAGTGTAGCATCATAACTTTTATCTTATCATAGTTAATAATTTCTCATCAGTATTTTTTTCGCAAAGTTTTAACATTTTTTCCCCCCAAAATTTTGATATTAGTTTGTTTCAAATCTAAGCAAAATTTCGTGGATAAAGCGAAAAATTTAGCATTTTTTGCGAGCAAACGAAATGCGAAAAAAAATGCGAAATTTTCGGAGAATTTTTTTTCTCACGATTTACCCTTTTCGCTTGGGAAACCCTAGTTTAGAGAGTACAAACTCTACTGTTATTGTCCCCCCACCATGCACGATTCACTTCGGTCATTTAACTCATTTCTTTGATTAATAATATGAGGAAGATTTAGTTTTTTTCTATCATTCAAATTTTTCTAAGTTTCCACAACTGGAACCGAAAATAAAATCTGTCAATTCTCTGATAGAAAATCAATGATGCAGTGTTACTCACCAAGGATGAGGCTGAAGATCCAAAACTCTTTTGAGATGACAATCCGAAGCTTTTTTTTACCTTTAAAAAAAGGGAGAATATTAGAGGTTTATGAACCCATGAATAAATGACAAAAGACTGAACAAAGTCGGTATATTTGTCTCAACCCTCTAACTCAAGGATCCACCCAATGCTAGATTGAAAATAATCTAATTAAATTTTCCCACCTTATACAGAAGAATGTTTTCAAACTCAAGAAAAGGTTTTTGCAACATCGGTACTATTATACTATTTAAGTTATCTGAGTAACAACGGATAATATATCGTCGTTTTTCCAACTTGGAACAAGCTGAATTATGTTTTTTAACTTTATCAATTTTTTTTAATTTTAATTTTTTTATGAAACAAATTATTTGATACATGTATTTAATGCAGAATGCAGATTATACTTTTTCCAACTCGGAACAAGCTGAATTATGTAAATTATGTTATTTGTCTTTGATGCGTAAAGTATAGATATATGTATACTTCATCCATTTTTAATCCCTTGAAGGATAAAGTGATAATATCTTACCAGAATTCTATTGTATGTGGTCTCAGGACACTTTATAGAAATCATATCATAAGGTCATAGATGGTAGATTGGAGGGAGGGGGGGGGTATTCCAGGGGCGTAAGGTGGGGGATTAGGAATAGAGATGGACAAATTCGACTTTTTTCATTTTGTTTGTTTATCATTCGTTTGTCTAATAAAATCGTTCGTTCAGTAAAAAAATTATCGTTTTTTATAAAAATCGTAAAAAATCATTCAGAAAAACTGTTTTTTTTTTAAATTTGTTCAATCATTCGACTCCGTTTTATTCTTCATTTTTTGGAAAAGTAGCTTGCTCTGGAAAAATTTAAAGACAACCGTTTTTATTAAGTGCATTCGATTAATTTTAAACCGATTTGTTCTTAAAAAAAACGATATTTTTTCATTTCTCTGAGCGATCCATTTCGTTCGATTTTCGTTCGTTTTTTTCTGAACAACACCCGTTTCCACGAAAAATTTCGTTCGTTTTTAAAAATGGTTCAACAAAACTATGCCCATCTCTAATAACGAGGGGCATTAGGGTGTTCAAATGTAGAAAAAGGGGGGGGTCTATCTTCATTTATTTCATGGGATGTAAGACTAAAAGAGGGGCTTGTGGGTAAGTCAGGGGGATGTATAGTTCACTTACCTGTGTGCTCAGTTAGCTGTACTTATACAACTGTTTACAAATAATGATATACTTTAGGTTAGGACAGAAACTCCTTATATTAATCAAATTAAGAGTACGCTCTCGGTATTGTTGATGGTCTATAAAATTAGTAAAGGATTAGCGTAACTCATCACTCTATACACTATAACTTCGTTGGGATAAGTGGATCACAAACTTGTTGCCTTTTGGCATAAATTAATAACAATACAGATAGAACAATTAACATCGTCTTTTCAAGATGTATGCGTTTTTTCATTCACAATAAACCTAAGGCGCCCAACAGCGCATGCTCTATCTCTCTGTTTTATTATTCAACGCTGCCTGCTCAGGAACTTCTTTGGGCTTCCGCCTCAGAGTTATTGGGAAGGAAAATCTAGTGTTCTATCTTTGTTGTTATTAATCTATGGTACATGTTTTATTAAACTTCGAATATACTAAATGCTGAAAAATAAGACAGCGCGGCAACCAGGCATGAAAATTTAATAATNGAACACTGAACACTGAATACTGAACACTGAACACTGAACACTAAACAATGAACACTGAACACTGAAATTTTTAAAAATAATCTTTCAAGAAGTAGAGGATTAATAAAAACTAAAATACTTAAAAAATGCTTGATTATTAATTTTAAGATAATTGGGTCTGCACATACTCTAATATGGATGTTTTCACTTATTCTTAAACGATTGTTTCGTTTTAAAAACGACGAAGAAACAAAAAAAAGGTTGTTTTTAATACGATCGAAAGTAGGTTGTTTTTGAAGATTAATAACAACAACAGTCGTTAACGACGACATTTAACGATATTACCGATAGTTAGGGTTCTTTTAAGAACAAAATACATTTTTTGGTCGGAAAATACTCAGATAAGAAATCCCTTAGGTCAGAAAACCTACAGGTTGTTTCTCTTGATAAAAAAAAACATTTAGGACAACATTCAGAAACGTATCTTCCTGAAAAAAATGAAATAATTGTTATAAACTCATATTAATTATAACGATATTTTTTTTCTCCAAAATATCGTTTTTCATTTTTTAAAGTTGAAAACGATCATGTTTTCTTTTCAAGAACGATTTTTTTTCTTCTAAAAACGAAACGGCAGTTTTTAATGCCTAGTTCAATTAATTATATTAGAGCCCTGAAAAGTTACCATAAGCATATTTGATTAAAACAATCTATAAATGAAAAAAATTAATTTTAACATGATTTCAGATTTTTCTTTTATCCCCTAAACTCTGTAGGTTTGTAATGTATGTAGTTGAATGAAAATCAGCTGTTAAATGAAAATCAGCTGATCTCCAGAAGAAATGGACGAGAATTCCACTCTAAGAGCAGAAGATTTTGTACAGTACGGTTTCAGGTATACTTTACATAAATTGTATAAAATGTGTACGTGTAAGTGTTTTGTTTACTTGGTACAGCAAGCAGGGGCGGATACAGGGGGGGGCGGGGAGACATTCGCCCCCCTAACAGATTCAAGGAGGGGCTTAGCCCCCTCTGAATTTGGAATTTTTTGTTCCTATTTTCAGAATAGCTTCTCAATAGCATGCTTAAGGGAAAGAAACCCTAGTGCAAAACAGGAAAAATATCTGTTTTTTTAAATATTGATACCTTTTTTAACTTTGTAAACTATTCGATCATATACACACTTCCATATCATATCACAAGGGTTAATAAATTATTGATGTAATTTTCTTCAAACACTTCCTCTTAATACTGTGGTGTAAGCTTCAATGGGTGAAAAATAGAGATGGAAACGCTTCTTAAAAAATATCTATATTTTCATAGAAACGATACATAATGTATAATTATAAATACTGATATAAAAGATATATATTTACACTAAAGGCAGTATTGATTAAAGCTTTTTTAATTATGACCGCTGAAAACTGAACACAAAGATAATTTGGACATCTTTGAGAAATCTGATGTCTATCAAATGTCCTGTCTTCAAAATGTTTAAATTGTCTAGTCTATGAAGTGTCCCCTATCAACAATGTTCATTTATGAATGTCCCAACATCCTGATAATCATATCTCTTATAATTTGATACATGTTTGCAAAAATACTTGTTTATTATCCTCTCTATAACATTTAACAGATAAAGGAATTGAGTCTTTGCCACAAACTCAAATTTTCTAATTCGAAAACTTTGCAGAATGATGGTAGAAACCTTTGTTATTTCAAACTTTGATAATTTGATTTAACAGAATTCATAGTTGGAAATGTCTAAGGTCTATGACATTGGGTTGCGAAGATATAGGAAGTAGAAATCAGAGTTTGTGAGAAACACTAAATTCCTTTAAAATATAAATTCATATTATTTTGCTAGGACACTCTTGATATGTCTAGAAAAGAGAATTTATCTTCATTATCAGACTCCATTAACACAGTCAACAGGGACAAAACAAGTCTTTTATTTATAAGATTTTACATAAAATTATATAAATGGACTGTAGACGTAGTTTCATTCGATTCACAACAGTACCCTTTTAAACTTGTTAAGAGAGGTACAATAATGAGGATTTTATAGTTTTTTCCTAATTTAAAAAGTGTTTGATTCTAAAAATTTCCTTTTCGCTCCTTGAAATATAAAACCGCAACTTCGCAAGTCAATTTCGCTGAAAAAAACCACAACTGAAAAAAATGATTATTTAGGCTATAATAGAACATGCGGATATCTCATTCATTGTGAATCAGACATGCTCTTGCTGGCAGTTTTCAACTCAAGGTGCAATGTAGTACATTTTGCGAATGCTAAATAAAACTATTTTTTTTTTCTCGAATTAGATTGTGAAAATAAAAATGAAAATGTCAACCAAATTCTGTAAAAAAGAAACTTTTTTTGAATGATCAGTATTTATTATCATTCATGCTAGATTACCTGTACTTCATGATACTGTTAAAAGACAGGAATTTTGACGATCCTAGGTGCTATATTGTGAATTCTTTCTTAGATTGTAGTAATCTAATGTTTTCTTTAAAGATTTGACAAATTTACAAAGAAATTCACAGGGAATCGTAAACATAAGAAAACAAACAGGAAAGATTCCGTATAGTCGCCTCTATAGTCTAATCATTTGTGGGTAACCCTGTAGGGTATCTGAGAGGAGTTAACTAATTGGAAGTGGAAATAAATAAAAGCCTAGTTAATTTATATTTTATATAAAATATAGCATGCATAATCTACATGATTGAGTGAACAGTAATAAATAGAGTATACACCCAAACCTACAAATATACATTATACTTTTAAACAAAAAGATCTTAACGATGGATTTTGGCTAATATTATGTAACCAGACTAAAATTTGAAAAAAAATAATTTTTGATCAGACAAGGGTACCGTTGTGAATCGGACATGTTTTAATAAATACAGTTGAAAATACCTAGATAAATTAAGTTGTACATTGTCTGTAAATCTAACTGCGTTAATCCTTAACTATGCAAAACTTGTAATGCAACTATACTAGCTACGTATTGTGATTAGCTTAACTATGATGATATATATCTGCGCAAATCTTGCAAATATGTATATTAACTTAACATGTAACATACTCTGCTTTGATTACAGTGATTTGGGTGAGTAATTTGGTCCTCATTGAAACATACGAGCTGAGATCATGTCCATTGGTTTGGCATTGATAGATGATGAGCTTGTGTCCATGTTGGCATTAATAGCTGACACTATTGTGCCCAACGGTTTGGCATTGATCGTTTAAGAGCTTGTGTCCCTGTTAACATTGATAGCTGACACTATTGTGCCCAACGGGTTGGCATTGATCGTTTAAGAGCTTGTGTCCCTGTTAACANGTTTTTTCTATCCCCCCCTCCGCACTGCTACATCCCATGCCCTTAAAATAACCTATATCTTTGGCAGATTACTTTTGATGAAAAAATACAAAGTAGGACAAGCTGCTTTAAAGGAATTAAATTAAGTTCCGTATCTTCACAATTAAGGAGACTCCTTGTATTGTATTAGCACAATTGCTCTGATAATGATGAATTTTATCATACTAGCCTTATAGGGCGCTTCGCCCATCTTTTAAATTAATTGTGAACATGTTCTATTTGTGTACATCGTAACACAAAACAAAAATAATTCGCAGATTTTCACAAAAAAAATCGTGGATTTTCAAAACTTTCAAAAATTTAATGAAGATCAAATTTTGATGGAGATAAATATTTGAAATTTTGATCATTCATAAACCTTCACTGTGGTCATGTGATGTCCCACAAAAAATGTGGGCACGATAGGTTCAGCCGTTTTGACGTTTATTGGATACAAACAAACAAACACCCAAACAGACAAACAGACACCCAGACAGACAAGCCAAATTTATATATAGACTTATAAATGCCCTATTTTAACAGAAAAATTCGCAAAAATTTGAGAACGCTTAAAAATAGAAAATTTCAGTGTAAAAGTCAAAGGATTTGTAAAGGAGAAATGATTAATAGAAAAGCGCCATAAAAGAAGTTACTGTGAACTGTATAAGGATTATTAAATTAAAAAAAAATATTTTAAAGTGACTGTTTTTTGCAATGCAAGGTACGGAAGAACTAATAGTTATGGAAAAGCTGTAAAACATTCCTCCCTTGCTAAACTCAGGCCTGACCAGGGAGTTTACAGGTAAATATATACGTAAATATAAACTTAAATATATACATAAATATAAAAATGAATATAAACGTAAATATAAACGTAAACATAATCGTAAATATTAACGTAAAAATAAATGTAAATATAAACGTAAATATAAACGTAAATATAAACATAAATATAAACGTAAATATAAACGTAAATATAAACATAAATATAAACTTAAATAGAAACGTAAATATAAACGTAAATATAAACGTAAATATTAGCGTAAATATAAATAAAAATATAAACATGAATATATATGTAAATATAAACGTAAATATAAACTTAAATATAAATGTAAAGATAAACGTAAATGTAAACGTAAATATAAACGTAAATCTAAAGGTAAATATCATGTAACTATAAAATTAAATATATACGTAAATATAAACGTAAATCTAAAGGTAAATATCACGTAACTATAAACTTAAATATAAACGTAAATATAAACGTAAATATAAACGTAAATATTAGCGTAAATATAAATAAAAATATAAACATGAATATATATGTAAATATAAACGTAAATATAAACTTAAATATAAATGTAAAGATAAACGTAAATGTAAACGTAAATATAAACGTAAATCTAAAGGTAAATATCATGTAACTATAAAATTAAATATATACGTAAATATAAACGTAAATCTAAAGGTAAATATCACGTAACTATAAACTTAAATATAATTGTAAATATAAATGGTTATTTAATGTTTCAGAACTCCTGAAGTTAAGGCATTGAGAGCATTTGTTGGTAGGTTTTTTTTTAAAAAGTAGAATAAGTTTAAATAAAAAAGAATAAATTTTTTTTTTAAATTAATATTCTCAAATAGGTTTCCCTCTTTCTTCCTCAATCCCTTTTTTTCTTGATTTATTCCCTGATAATTGAAAATAAAAGTTATTTGTTATTTTTTTCTAGGTGTTTATAATATGCTCTTTTGGATCACAGGAGCTGCAGTTTTCAGGTGTTTTTTGTTGTTATATTTTCCCAAAAAGTATATATTTTAATTATCATATTGATATAATTTGTAATACTTTTTATCTGCAGTTTGGGAGTGTCATGTCTGCTTGATATTCAAACTGAAGAACTTTCAACTCTCTTACAGGTAATACATATTGTACGGTACCTTTACACCTTACTTACCTGGTATTGAAGTTCTGTATGGTGGAGCTAGTACCGTACCAACTTGGTGTTATAGAGCTGCACTGTAAGGTGGAGCCAGTACCATACCAACCTGGTATAGAAGTTCTGTATGGTGGAGCTAGTACCATACCAACTTGGTATAGAAGTTCTGTATGGTGGAGCTAGTACCATACCAACTTGGTATTGAAGTTCTGTATGGTGGAGCTAGTACCGTACCAACTTGGTGTTATAGAGCTGCACTGTAAGGTGGAGCTAGTACCATACCGACCTGGTATAGAAGTTCTGTATGTTGGAGCTAGTACCATACCAACCTGGTATAGAAGTTCTGTATGGTGGATCTAGTACCTTACCAACTTAGTGTGATAGTGCTGCACTCTAAGGTTGGGGCGTGTTCGGTACCAACCTAGTGCAGCAGTACTTCACAGTACCAACCTGGTGTAACTTTATTTTGCTATCTAGTGGGAGCTTATACCATTCCAACCTGGTAACTGTACTGTACTGTCTAGTTGGAGCTTGTACTGTACCAACCTGGTGTACCTTTTCTGTAACGTCTAGGTAGATCTTGTACTGTACCAACCTGGTGTACCTGTACTTAACTATATAGTTGGAGCTTGTAAATTACCAACCTGGTGTTCCTTTACTGTTCTGTCTATTTTAAGATTGTTCAGTACCAACCTGGTGTACATGTACTGTACTGTCTAGGTGGAGCTTGTACCGTACCAACCTGGTGTACCTGTACTGTACTGGCTGTACCTGGGTCTCCTCTTGGCTGGCAGTATTATATTTATAACAGGTTCAAAGTTCTTACATCTTATCATTTTTTCATTAAATTACGCTAACCTCATCAACTTTCTCTGAATGTTAGGTTTCAAGTCCCAATATTTCATCATACTTTATATCAAAATCAAAAGTTCGCTTTTTTATAATTTTCTAAATGTTTCAAACTCAACATTTATTCCAGGCACCAATCAAACAAACCATTCAAACAAGAAAACGACAAAAAGAATATTTATTGAATTATATCTATATTAGAATCAACTTCTTATGTATTCTGAGATTCTGGAAAAAAAAAATAAAAAAAAATATTATAAACGACATCGATATTTAGCAATCAAAATTCTTTAAATATCTATAACTCCTAGATTTTACAATCAAATATTGCAAATTTAAAAAAATATGTTTTGGAATAACTTTCCTTAAAATATAAATGTTATTTTAGGATTTATGGGGTGCTGGTCCTCTATGCAAGGGAACTCTACAGCGGCCATGTTGGTTAGTTACTAATCCTTTTTATGAAAAGGCAGTATGGGATTTTAAACTTTGTTAGAACTTCATTGTGTTAAAAAAGGAAGAAAGTTATCCAACAAACTGAAAGCCGAAAGGTTTTTATAAAGAGAATATGTGTTAGAAAACAATGTAAATTGTTTCAAGGGAAAAACAATATTTCAATATAATAAAATTATTTTCAAAATTTTCATTTAGAGTTTTTTAAACAATAATAATGTTCTTGACTCTTCATCTAAAAACAGTGACTATTTTAAAGAGACTGTTCGTGTAATTTTATCTGATCAATTATTAATCATAAATCAACGTTTATAATTTTGAAAACTGATTATTTTCAATTGTAGGTTCACTACAGTTATCAGAACTCGAAAAAATACAATATATCCCACAATATTGATCAATCAATGTAACATGCGTACCATTGTGAATCGGGCATTGCCAGCTTTGCATGGAGGGTCACTTGAAAATACACAAACATTCCCTTTAACCGATAAAAACTACATATTCCGCCTTCACTCTTGACCAGGCATAATAGGAAGATATATTAAATAGTGTTAGATGTGTGATCAGTGAGCAGACACAATTCAAGAATGCATTTTTTAAAATACATTTAATTTTTTTTTTAGTATATAATGCTCCTTCTAATCTCCTGCATAGGGGAAATATCTCTAACTGCAATTGCTATTATAAGCAGGTAAATTGCTATTATAAGCAGGTAAATTGCTATTATAAGCAGGTAAATTGCTATCATAAATAGGTAAATTGCTATTATAAGCAGGTAAATTGCTATTATAAGCAGGTAAATTGCTATGTTAAGCAGGTAAATTGCTATTATAAGCTGGTAAATTGCTATATGTGCTGCCAATATTACCGGAGATATAATTTCGTTCAGATTTCGTTTTTGTTGAATAAAGCCAAAAGTGTTTAAATCCGAACGAAATGCCAGAATTAAATTAATATTATGTTCACAAATAAATCTAGCAATTATATCATGTCGTCTTTCTACTGTCAAGGATTTATTGCAAGGAAAGTTATTTCAGAAGTGTACGCATGTTTTGTACTGCAGTGTGCTGTCTCTGGGCGGTAATGTAAACATAAGACGGAAATCGAAGCCTGAAATGGGATCCATCTTTCACATAAATAATCAATGAAATATTCTGGTCATAGGAAACTATTATGTGAATTATCAAAATTATCAAAATTCAATGCTTTTAACCTCCTCGGATACACTGAGGCATCTATTCTTGTTTACAAATTCCGCCCAGAGAGAACTGGTTTCAATATGTACGCAGAGTATACGCAACTGCAATTAGCTTTCCTTGCATTACATTCTTGGCTACTGTCACGTTTGATGGGACACCCTGTGTATAAATTTGCAGAGATCTTATATTGGAAAGAACAGAACAGGAGCTGGTTCCAAAACTAAAGGTAGTAAATATTTTTTTTCAATTCATTTACTAAGTAAGCTTACAGGGAGTGAATTTAATGATTTAATGAAATTAACCTACGTAGTTTAACTACTACTTCCGGTTAAAATTTGAACCATTGATTTAAAGTTAAAGATAAAGATATTATTTAAATCAGTGATTCAAATTTGAACCGACGGTAGGCAGTTCGAATTTATTGAATTTATTCCTGGTTTGTACAGTACTGCCCTATATAATATGCAGTACAACTGGAAATAAGATCATTACAAGAATAAAAATATATCTTACAACAGATATCCATGCCCACCAGACTTTCATAAAAAAAATCTCTTTTATTTTTTAAAAATGTTTAAACATGACAGTTGGTGAATAGTTTTGAATGTCTTCTTCCATAAATTGTATTGGATATTAAACACTTTTTCAGTTTATTCGTTGATAAAATCTTTTACTCAAATATTTTTTAAACTTTGAAATCAATTTTACTTTAATATGACTGCCGTAGGCTATTTTTTCTTTTTGGTATCAAGTAACTTATTTTGGAAATTATGGAAGAAAACATTAAAAACTATTTATCAACTGTCATGTTTGGTGGGACACCCTGTATAACAATTTTCAAAAGTAAAGGTCGTCTTAGTCTGTAACTAATTGTTTAGATGAACTATAATATACCAGGACATGATGGGTTCTCTAGATCGATAGATCTCATGCAGACTAAGGTCAGTTTATTTTTACTCCAAGTAATTTCAAATTAATTTTCATTTTAAAATGTTGTATTATTTCTACAATGGAGCGTACGACTGTATGCATTGCAGTACGTTTTGTACTTGATTTTAGATTTATCGAGAAATTTTCTTTTTATTTTGATAGAATTATAGATCAGAAGGATAGGCTTTAACTTAAAAATCTCGGATGATTTTAGATTAATTGCAAACTTTCTTTTATTATTTTCTTATGATTAAATCAAAAAATCGGAATTATCGATGTTTTGGACAAAACTTTTAAAATTGAGATATAACAACAATGCATATTTAAAGTGCAAAAATCGATGCAAAATTTCTTCGCAAAAACTGAGCAATCCTTATACTTAAAAGTTACCATTGTGGATATAGAAATCAAGGGCTTTATATTAGCATTAATTCACAAAAAAGTTTTCACTCACCCTCCCCCTCCTCCTTTGCATCTTCTCTCTTCCCTCATCTCTGATTCCCTTACATCATCCTTTCTCACTTGCATCATACGTCCTCCCCTAGCATCATCCTTTCTCCCTTGCATCATCCATCCTCCCCTTGCATCATCATTTCTCCCCTTGCATCATCCTTTCTCCCTTGCATCATCCTTTCTCCCTTGCATCATCCTTTCTCCCTTGCATCATCCATCCTCCCCTTGCATCCTCCTTTGTCCCTTGCATCATCCGTCCTCCCCTTGCATCATCTGTCCTCCCATTACTTCCTCCTTTCTCCCATGCATCCTCCTTTCTCCCATGCATCATCCTTTCTCCATTGCATCATCCTTTCTCCCTTGCATCATCCGTCCTTCCCTTACATCATCCGTCCTTCCCTTACATCATCCTTTCTCCCTTGCATCATTCTTTTCATCCTTGCATCATCCTTTCTCCCTTGCATCATCCTTACTCCCTTGCATCCTCCTTTCTCCCTTGCATCATCCTTTCTCCCTTGCATAATCCTTTCTCCCCTTGAATCCTCCTTTCTCCCCTTGCATTATCCTTTCTCGCGTGCATCATCATTTCTCCCTTGCATCATTCGTCCTTCCCTTGCATCATCCTTTCTCCCTTCAATCATCCATTTTTTCCTTGCATCATCCTTTCTCCCTTGCATCATCCTTACTCCCTTGCATTATCCTCTCTCCCTTGCATTATCCTTTCTCCCTTGCATCATCATTTCTCCCTTTCATCATCCTTTCTCCCTTTCATCATCAGTCCTACCCTTGCATCATCCTTTATCCCTTGCATGATCCTTTCTCCCTTGCATCATCCGTCCTCCCCTTCCATCATCCGTCCTCCCTTTGCATCATCCACCCTCTCTGTTGCATCATCATCCCTCCCCATGCATCATCTCCCTCCTCTTGCATCATTCCCCTCCACTTGCCTCATCCCCCCTCAAATTGCCTCATCCACACTCCCTTTGCATCATCCTTCATCCCCTTGCATCATCCCCTCCCCTTGCATCCTTCTCCCTCCTCTTGCATCATACCCCTTCTCATGCATCATCTTCCTTTCCCTTGAATCATCCCTTTTCCCTTTGCCCTTGCAAGATCCCCCTCATCTTACAGCATTATCTCTCCCCATGCATCATCCCCCTAAATTTGTATGATCCCCCCTCCCTTGTATCATCCCCTTCCTTGTATCATCCCCCTTGTATTTTCAAGATTTTGAAGTATTTAACCAGATAGTTAATAATTCTAAAAAAAACACAATTAAGTTAAATATGGAGATTTTCAGATATTTTTTTAACAAGATCAATTATTATTAATGTTTTAATATTAGTTTAGGTGAAGATTTAGATCAGTGAAAGCAGTTGTATCCTGTATAGTAAACAAGTGTACATGAACAAATTATTTCTGAAAATTTTTGATTGGTCAATAATTATTGACCTTTTTTCACATGAGTTTCTTCTCCTTAATAGAACTTAGGTATTTCAAATAACCAAAGTTTGAAATTTCAAAGGTTAATTTCATCAAATTGCGCACATATACGGCCGGATTAAAAAGTTTAAGTTTGGGACAAAAGACTCAATTTTAAGATAAATCGGGAGAGTTAAAAATCTGTTTTCAAACAAATTGTTTTGGTAAAATAGAGTTAAGTTACTCAAAAGGTTCACAGTTTTACTATTAATTTAACTTCATTGATTTTAACTGAATTGAAATTAAATTTTAGATTTAAAAAATTTTAATTTTAATTTTTTTTTAAGTTAGGAAAATTGTGGAAATTATGAAAAGTGGCAAATTTAGGGTTAATTCAATGTTTTAATTTTTTTTAATGATTTCTGTTTTCTGAATTGCTTTTTCATTTCAATTCTTTTAATATTCCTAATCAAAGGTAATACTTGGAGTGCATGCATAAAACTGTGGAATATGAAGATGACAAATAATCCATTTTATATCTATTTTATGTTGTAAAATAAGTTCTTGTTATAATTTGATTACATTTTCTACATATATCCACTATAAATTTTGCAATTTTTATATATCTCACGCTCATTCAATTTAAAATCAAATTTCATAAAATTTTTATCACATTTTAATTTTTTATGCTTTAAATCCAAACAAAACAAAATTTTTAAATGTTTATCCAAAATATTCGATAATCCCGTTTTTTCTGACTCACCTTATACAGGGTGTCCCAATAAACATGGGAATTGAGTGACGAATTCGATATCGTCTTTTTGAATAATTCTTTGATTTAGTATAGTGATACCTACTGCGAAAGCTGTAATCTGTAAGAGTTTCGTCTGCTATGTTCACATTTTGTTTGTTTATGTTTTGACTGCATACGGTTGTACTTAGTAAAACAAGAAAATTGCAGTATACAAACAGAGTAAACTTGTCCGTCTTTACTGTTCATCTTCTGGAGACATTATAGACACATTTTGTTTATGTTTTGACTGCATACGGTTGTACTTAGTGAAACAAGAAAATTGCAGTATACAAACAGAGTAAATTGGTCCGTCTTCACTGTTCATCTTCTGGAGACATTATAGACACATTTTGTTTATGTTTTGACTGCATACGGTTGTACTTAGTGAAACAAGAAAATTGCAGTATACAAACAGAGTAAATTTGTCCGTCTTTACTGTTCATCTTCTGGAGACATTATAGACACATTTTGTTTATGTTTTGACTGCATACGGTTGTACTTAGTGAAACAAGAAAATTGCAGTATACAAACAGAGTAAACTGGTCCGTCTTCACTGTTCATCTTGTGGAGACATTATATACACATCTTTAGAGTCTTTTACCCTTTTCATAAAATAAGCTCTAGCAGACATAATAATATCATGGGTTTTTAAATTAGGTATTACAATGCTAATTCATAACAAAGACGATATCGAATTCGTCACTGAATTCCCATGTTTTTTGGGACATCCTGTACCTGTACTTGTTTTAGTTTGAATGCTGTGGCCTGGGAGGATTAAATGATTATACTTTATCCACTTGGTCAAGAGAAGGAATCCCCTCACTTGAAGGAATACCGTCACGTGATAACATCTTGTCACGTAATGAAAAGGAGGGCTGGAAAGCCCGACTAAAGGTTCCGTTGACCTGTTGTGCTCTAACTAACTCCCATGAGTTGACCGGATACTTGGATCCTAAACCTTCAGATCTCAGTAAATGCCAGGTATACAGAAAATAATTACGCTTTAAAGGGGAATTCCACGTAATTATAATTAACCTCCTGTTACAAAAGATTTTAAGCGTATTTTTTAAAGCAAAGATGGCAATGCTAGATTCACAAAGGCACCCTTGAAACCTATATCTGATCAATAATGTGGAAGATATTGTCGTTTTTCTATGCTTGAAAGTTTTCAATTCTGCGAACAGAAATGTGCAATGCACTTTTATGGAGAAACCACAATTGAAAATAATCAGTTTTCCAAATTATAATATATTGATATCTAATTTATATAAGATCAGACAACGCTTTCAAAGGTAACGTTGTAAATCAGGCATTGTCACCTTTTAATGTACAATTGAGTCACTTGAACTTATGCTTACAGTCCCTTTAAGAAGACTCTTTAAACCTTTATTTGATCAACAATGGGGAAAAAGCTAGGTTCGAGATTTCCGTCTTTGACTCTGCTGCAATAGACAATTTTTAGAGAAAAAGAAAGCATAAAAACTTCATCTTTTTGCTCAGGCGAAAGTTTAAAAGAAATATGCTTGACCTTATTTAGATGAAGGTTTGCTTTCAGGTTTAAATATTTCTAGAAAAAAAAATGAAAAAGGTCAGTTTGCTTTTAGTAGTCAGTACCAAAAAACTTAACAGGATTTTTTAACCCTATCTCTGCTGGGGTAATTGAAAACCAGGATATGCTGGGGGGGGTCAATTTGACCCCACCCCCTAAATCCCATGTTTGATGTTCAAATATGACAAATGATACATTATTGGAAAGCTCTTGTGTTATACTTTTAGAATCTGCAAAAAAATTTGCAAATTTGCAAAAATTAAATTTTTTATCGCAAAATCCAGTTATATAGTAAAAATGTTTGCAAAAAAAAATTTTCCAAAAAATGAAAAATTATACATTTTTGAAAAGCCCTTGACCATACCATTTCAAATATGCAAAAATGTTTGCAAAATTTCAAATAACCTAAAAAAGCTAAATTTTATTAAAAACTGAAAAGTGGAAGTGGGTCAAAACAAAGATTTAGTTTGTTACAGGAAAAAGCAGTCATTCAGGCAGTGTGCCTGAGGACTTAGGCAGTTAGTATTAAAGCCCGGTTTTAGGCCTAAAGGGAGGGCTTTGGGTATGTAGGAAAAGTCAGAAAATTTCAACAGCCACAGACCAATACTTTTTGGTTATGTAAAAAAACTACAAGGGGGGTCAAATTGACCCCCCCCCCCCCTCCCCAGCAGGAATAGAATTAATGTTCTAGATTATTTCTAAATTAGTAGCGTTTCTTACAAGACATGTTTTCAGTAAAAAGTGTTCATGCACCAAGTGTATTGGCTTAATACATTGCCATTTCTGTCTGTAACTGCCTGATTATTTGACAAAGGAATTGAGTCTGTGCCACAGACTCATATTCTATAATCTTTGCAACCTAATGTTGTAAACCTTTGATGTTTTAAATTTAAATCATTTGGTCTAACAGAACTCATCATTTTGAAATATCTAATGTCTTCAACATTTGGTTACAAAGAAATTGGGATTAGAAAATCAGAGTTGGGTTCAGGAACTCAATAACTTTAGGTATTAAGTGGGAATTTGTTATTCATCATTAAACAAAATATATTTTCAGGATTTAAGCAGCAGAACCATTCTTGCAAGGTAACTATTCAAACTATTCAAATTAGTCTTTTTTTTAGTAAATGTTTACACGGTGATTTTGGTAAGAATATAGGAGCCATGTATTTAAATGAAGTATTAGCAAAATTAGAATATTTAAAAATTTATTGAACTTGAAAAACTAGAAAATGTTGACTGATCGTAATTTGTTTTAAACTATAATTTGTCTTTATGTTAATGATTTCACCCTAAATCTTCAAAGGTTTTAATAGTTATATGAAAACTGATCAGCTCAGGGATATTTTTGTTGAATGAACTTTCTTCTTTTCTAAAACTGCATCTTTAAAATAAATTCGACCAAGAAGTCTGCAGACTGTATACACTGTACAGTGTACAGTCTGCAGACTGAACAGTGTACAGTGTACAAGCTTAACTTATAATTTAAGCATTTGATATATTTGAAGTATGTGAATCAAGGTATTTAAACATTATTGCTTTGATGGTGATATTTCTGCAAACTTACAAATAACATACCTCGTATTTTAAAATAATTGTTCGTAAATTTTGAAAATAGAAATCAAACGAAAAACTATCGTTTTCCTTCATTTCAAGTTCTTACTGATTTAACAATTTTGTTTAAACAATTTGAAGATAGTATCAGTTGGTCATGGGGTACCTAAGTTATGATGTAGGGTACAGTCCCTTTAAAGAATTTGATATTTCTAGGTATACAGATGGATGCCTGGACAAGCTACTAAGCTGGGGTGAGGGACAGTGTATAATGATCGCTGGTGTAGCAGTAGGGGGAGCAGTTCTTCACATTTTAGGAATAAATGCAAATATTATTTAATTTATTAACATTAACAAAACGGTTAGAAAAAGTTGGAACATGTCCAGCTCTAGTCAAGATATTAAAGTGACACCATGACATTCCTAATTTTTTAAATTCACAGTCTATCCATCACATGTATTGTAATGTAATGAAATGAAACATTGTATTCTATGTTTTGTATTTCGTTGAAGACACTACCAGAAAGATAGATCGCGCATAAGACGACATTTTTCATCTTGAAAGATATAAATGTACAGAGATGTTTTAAAGATATTCCTATTATATAGATTAACTAGGTCGGTTGTGAACATTGGCTGTTCTTATGTCATTGAGTACTTGTGGTACATGAGTTCTGTAGAGAGAAATTTAAGTTAGTTTAGTCCTTCTCATGTCCTTCTTCAGTTCTCGTCAATTTGATATATTGCTCAGTGAAATATTGTTGTTCAAATAGTTCCATTCCCGGAGTTATTTTACACTCTATTAACATCCATTAAAACACCAAACCACCCCGCTTATCATTGAAGTACACTCTGACCCCTAGAAGTATTAGTTCGCGGACTGTACAATTCTTGGTGATTTTGCATACATAAGCTATCTATGTTTATTTATTTATCTATGGACACAGTTCCAAATTATTAACAAAAAATATTTAAATTCAAACTCAGTTATATCTAGAAATTATTTACAGTTAATATTTATATACAAAAAAGTAAGTATTTTTCAAATTTTGCATTGATTTCAGGAATTGTGCTGACTTGCTGTCTTCTACAAAAACTACATCCATCACAATAAAGGAGTTGAGTCTTTGCCACAAATTCTGGTTTTTAAATCCCTATATCTTAATAACCCAACGTTGTAGACCTTAGATATTTCAAAATTTGAAATATCTTAGATTTACATAATTTGGTTGTAGATATATAGGTATTAGAAAATTGGGATTTGTTGCTAAGACTCAATTCCTTTATTTGTTTTAATTGAATAGCATTGTAATTTTGATTAAAAGAAAAAAAATTAGTTCAGTCAATTCACTGATCATATTTGTATTTAAAGACATTGTCTGGCTATGGTAGTTAAGCTGATTTTTTAGAAATTGCAACCTAAATAGGTGTAATTGTGCCAAAAAAGAGGGGAAATTTTATCATTAAAATTCTTGCAGTCCGTCCATTTTAAAGGCTTGCTCACAAAAACTAACTGTTTTGAAACAAATTGAGCAAATTTAAATTAAATCACGGAATATAGGTTAGTTTCATTCACTCATATTTCTTAAATGTTTGATTGCTACAAAAAGGTTTCTAAAATTTTAAATTGCAAAGCCTTTTTTAGTTTTTTTTAAAGTTTTGTAAACAATTCTTGTTACTCTTTTTATGAATATATAACAAGATAACTTAATAAAGCTATATTACAATTTTACAATTACAGATTTGTAAAAACTATCCATTTGTTAAAACAATTAAAAAATAACTTTTTTTAATTCATTATGATATGAAATTTTGTAAGAAAATTCTTCTCCCAAAAAAAATTATAAATTTGAAGCTAGAACAGAATGGCTTTTGTTCTCAGTTCTATGCATTACAAAAAAAAATAATTTGATAATGTCAGAACTTAGCGAGCAAAATACCTTGTAGGGTACCTATTAAACCTTTATCTCATGTCCTTTTCTTAGCTTGAAAATTATCAAATTACTATTGGATAACCTTTTTTTAATCTTGATCTTGATAAGAAAAAGTGTATATCAGACAAACCACTCTAAAAATTGAAATTAAATCTACAATCTCTTCCAAAGACCATCTATACTACAAGCTCAAAATTAATGAATTTATTTTTACAATTTATTATTTCATGAATTTAATAATTGGTAATACAGAAAAATTCAAATTTAATTATTTTGTCTTCATTTCTCTCATTCTTCCTTTATTTCTTCTTCTTCTTTAAAGGAATTGAGTCTTTGCCATAAACTCCGATTTTCTAATCCCTATATCTTTGAAACCCAATAATATGGATCTTGGATATTTCAAAATATGAATTCTGTTAGATCATATAATCTAAGTTTAAAATACAAACTGTTCACATTTTCATGTTGCGCAGATATAGGAAATGGAAATTATGATTTTGTGGTAAAGACTTAATTCCTTAGTTGAAACCAGCATTTTTGGACGCTCACTCTACTCAATTGTAGAATAGCTGTCAGGTTCCGATGATTCATTTTCAGCTTTCGTTTGCAGATTTATCCAATTTTAATATGATTAATGAAAATGAAAAAGAATTTAATAAAAATATTTATTGAAAAGTTAAGAATATATTTTATCACACAAGTTTATAAGCAAATTGTAAGAAAATACTTAAAAACACATTTCAAAGCTGCAATCATAGACACAATGCATTCTTTTTTAATATTGAAAGAAACTGCAACAAAGAAAGAAAAGGGTGAATATTTTATTTCAATGAGTAAAAATTTTTGAAAATTGCATTTTTGAAATTGTCTACACAAAACTCTTTATTTATTAATCTTATTACCATTGCAACCTAATAACATAGGTCTTTGATGTTGTAAACTATATATTTTGCCAAAATCTAGGGATAGTTAAGAAAGTGTTATTTGTATGTAAAGTATTTTTTGTGTTGTAGAAGAAAAATTATTTAAATAATTTTTTTCTTAAAATATTTCTCAAGTAGTTCTAAAACAATTAAAATGAACGTATTAAAGTATCAATATATTATTGATCTAATACATTCTTTAAAGATTTGAAAACTGAAATGAAAATCTTGTTTTTAAAGGAATTTGTTTCCAGACATAAATAAATTACAATTTTAAACTTATTTCAAATCCTCATTGTGAAACATTTGATAATATAAAAAATAAAAATTTTACTTCCATTTTTTCTTTTAGAAATTATTTGTTTCTTTTTTGGTTTTAAAAGTAAACCAATTTTAGTCTAAAATGAATACACAAATATTATTTATTGTCTACAACAATGAATTTTATGAAATAAAAGACACTTTTAGCGATTGCATATAGTTATATAGAACAATTATTGTAAATGATCTAAATGTTAAAGGGAGTGACTGCCAATGTATGGTGGCTGAACTGAATATGTAATATTGTGGACAAATTTTTTAGTATGCATTTGAGATATATATAACGTTTCTACAAAGCATATTTACTTAGTTTGAGCGCAATGTCGACATTTAAAATAAAAAATTTGGGTGTGTATGTTATTAAAAAACGACAACAAAAATTGTAAACAAATTGTACAGTAAACTAATTAGTTTTTAAGGAACAGAGAAAATCAAAATTAACTCTAATCATCCAAAATAAGTAATCTTATTCAATTAATAGTTTGTATAATCTCTCATGGAATTTTTAATGAAATACCCGACATTTGAAAAACTTTAAGAAATCTTCAAACAAATAAATAGAAATTATGAAATTCAATATAATGATGAAAACGAAATAATCGAAAAAATTGATTTATTGACAAATTTCTTTTGAAAATCATGTTCCTAAACATATGATAAGTTTACTGTATAATTTTTACTTTATTTGTTGTCATTGTTATTTAATAATTTTAAAGAAACTAATTCTGAAAACTAAGGTACACACCCTAAATTCATGATTATTACAACTTTGCACTTAAACTATTTGAGATTGGGTTCAAGAATATCAGTAAAAAAATATGAAACATTTTAGTCTCATCTTTAAGTTTTAAATTGAATTTGGAAACAAATATAAGCTTATATTTTTTTTATTTTCATGGGGTGAATTACTCCTCTCCCCAATATTAAGGTATATATAATTAAAAGTGAATTTAAAAGCAAACAAAAGTATAGAATTTAAAAATACATTTTCTTAAAATTGTTGAAATTGCTTGTACTTAAGACAACACTGAGCCTTAATTGCTTTTCCTTGAATTATAATCGCATTCGCAACCCAGATTTCTTCCACCTCATATTCTAGCATTGCAATGATTTTCTTTTGTCCATGCCAGTTGCAAAGAAAACTAAAACAATTGTTTAAATTATGTATTTATGATTTTTTTTTCTAATTATACTTGATTATAACCATAAAAACTGCAATATTCAATATTGAAGTCTTACGTAGAGCAGAACAAGAGTCTGTTAACGATAGGAATAAAAATCTTTTTTGGAAAAAATAAGCCAAAATTTTAAATAGAATGGAAAGATTTAAAAATATGAATACAGTAAAAGTGTGTTCTTTTTGAAATTTAAATTTTTGGTGACAAAGATTATTTTCTCTCTGTTACGCCTAAAATTATGTCAAACAACATTAAATCTTCTTTTCCACAAGAACGTTCATCATTTATATATATTTGATTTAAACACATAAATATACTTAAACATAACAGGAAATATACTGTGACAAGATATTTTACCTATTACGTATAGAACTATTATTATAGGTTTCACAATGATGAGAACAAAGTACACATACTTTATCCTAAAATAAAACTACAAGTTTTGAAAAGCTCTTGAAAAATAAATGTATATATGTAACATCTTTGTTTGTGTCGAAATCAAAAAAAAATATTTTTTACATATTTCTAACTCTATTTTTGGCATTTTATTTAAACCTTTTCTTTCTCCTTGTCATACTTTTTCTTTTATAAAATGGCATATTTTTATTCACCTTTTTCTACCAGAGAACTGTTGAGATACTTTTTTAAAACTTCCAGTTCCCATTCCAGCAGACCCAACTGAAGAAAAATTTGATTTTTGAAGATATTTATTTAAAAAATTTCATTTCAAAGAAATGAAAACCTGTTAAAATGATTACTGTTTTTATAAATTTTATACAAAGTGAAGATGTTCACAAAAAAAGCAAAAGCAAAAAAAAAACAGAGCTCAAACAGCTTAGTGTATGCTTATAATGACAAGGTTTATAGATGTCCAATGGTCCCCCTTGGTTCTTTAATATTGTTTTGGTTATCATTTTTAAGAAGCAGAGAAAGAAAATATATTTACCACGCATTTCCTCCCTGTTTCTCTCCCAGTCGATATAAACTTGAAGAATTAGCTCAAAGAAAGGCAGTAGCAAACTAAATGAAATTGTAATTATTTCAATTCAATTACATATGTTAATTTGATAAATATTTAATTTGAAATTCTACAGATTTAACTCTTGGTTAAGATTTTCCGAGAAACAGATCATTATTGGCATAAGAAAGCCTGCACAGGCTTCTGGAAACCAATGTTTTAAAATTAAAAATTAAATTGTTTTTATTGTAAACTGTATAATAACAGAAAAACAAATTCCCTTGTTTTGCTCAAGAAGATAGCTTTACATTTACATGTCTAGTATTCTTGTACAAAGGGATGGTAGAGTTTTCATTTTGTTGAAAAATTATTGTTTTGTTATAAAAACAAAAACAAAATGATCGTTTTCATAAAGCTCATATTTTCTTTAACAATAGTTAACGACGACCCTTCATTAGCATTTGTTAAAGACACCCTTTGAAGAGCTCCGTACTTATCATTGAGCAGTTTTAAAGAAAATATCAAGAAGTTGTGGCTCCCCCGCAACTTTTTACCATCATGCAAGACAATATTTGATTAAGTTGCATGTCATTTTTTTCAAAAACAATAGTTTTTAAAAAAACAACAGTTTTTATAAAGTTGGTTGTTTCGTTAACAATCATTAACAACAACCATTTTTTAAGGATTGTTAACAATGACCCTTTCTTAAGGATCGTTTACATATTTATCATTGACAATTTTTTTTCAAAAACTATCGTTTTTTTAAATTCACTTTTTTTTTTTAAACAATTTTATAAAAAATGACTGCTGATCGTTTTAATAAAATCAATTGTTTCAAAAACCAACGCTATTTGTTTTCTAAAAGTTTAAAACGAGTGGGTTGTTTTTAAAAATGATATTTTTTTCCAAAAATGAAACGATTGTTTTTTGAAAATGATCAAAAAACGAAACAAAAATGATCGTTTAACGATTGTTGATCATTTTCAAAAACAATTAACAACCCTACTTATATAGCCTACAGGGTGTTAAAAGCCAAAAATGTTTTTTTTTTCATATTACTAGATACCATAGTACATTTCTCCCTTAATCCTTAGTGCAAAAGTTCATAAGATCATAAAGAAGTTAAATCTTCTCTGAAACATAAATAAAACTGAATACCTAAACAGAAGCCATTGATCTACCATTTTCAGATTATTGGTTCTAGGTAGAGAATCACTTACTGCGATATACCTATCCATTAATAGATGTTTTTACAAGTGTTTAAATTTACTTCTTTGTATTTGGCTTAAATAGTTATATATAGCATCTTTTTTTAAACTGAAACATTACAATTTGTTGAACTTCTTGGCCTTAGAAAATTTTGTTTAATAGAAATGAATAAAAGGTTATTACTTTGATATATAGAGAAATTTTAACATTATAGAGATTAATTTTGTTAACTAATAATTTTGGTTCTGAATAAGAGTTTAAACATGTTATAAACACTTGCTTTTTCCCAAAGACACAATATTTTTAATGGACCTTGCTCCTAATTAATGGGGTGAATTCGACAATAAAAATAATCTATAAACTCACATTGCTGAGAGAACCAGGACAACTGTAATATTCAGATTGACCCTGGTATCTATTTGTTCTTCATCTAGAAAGTTTGTCAAATGTCCTAAAAATAGTTAGTCTATATTATAAATCTTGTTTCTCAAACATTGATACTTATATGTTATCCATAGCTGGCTTGACCAAATTGGCTGAATTAATTTTTAAAGAACACATTAGTACTGTCGGGGAGGCTTAAACATATTTGGAAATCTTTGAAATTCCATGGGTAGAGCACCTTTGCTAAAATCATAATTTAATACCAAGTGTGGGTAAACTATGAAAAATAGTATAAACCTAGTAATATACATTAACTTCTTCTTTCAAATTATTATACCAATAATATCCAGGCCTAGAGTTGGTAAGAAAACCATGACCATGAATGTTGATATTGAACGACCTTAAACAGATAAGTTATTTTTACGATTATAAAATATGCAGTTTATCTAAACACTTTAAATCATTTATATAAACAAATTAAAATGGTCAAATCTAAAGAAGTAGTTTTCCTTTGCTCTTTGAACAAAATTATTAGATCAGTATTATAAATAACACCCAAAGCATTTTTAATCATTTTAGAACTACATGTGCTCAGTATTCAAAATATTTATTTATTTTACATACACATTTGTTTTTTTTATTTTAAGTTAATTTGATTTGGAGAATGTAAGTACATATGAAAATAGTTCTGTATTTACCTAAGGTAATTGCGACGGCTATTCCATTATTATTCTCATCAACAACTTTTGTCATTTCAAGGCAAATTACGCTATAGGTCACCATACCCTAGGTGATACTGAGATTTTAAGCATTTTCAAAAAAGAAATTATATTTAAACAAAACTTATGTGGCACTTATGCATAAGTTAAAGACAAATTTGAAATTTCCTTTCTTTGAATTTATATCAACTAAAATGCAGCAAAGTGAAAAGTCGGGGGAAAAAATAAGGGCATGCAGTTTAGTTGTATATGACAAATTTTGTTTAGTGTTCCTGGAAAGAATAAGAGGTAACAAATATTCTAAACAGAACACTAGATGCTGCATATTGATTTGATAACTTCTTATCATAATATGCCCAAAAATGAAAGATCTGAAGGAAATTGGTGTATTGGATGGCAGCTGTCTTAATTGGTAGGATGGTTACCAATTGCTTTCTGATCAATTTGGATCTGCAAAAGCCTCACAATACCTTTCTGATAATGTTAAAAATGATGATTTAAAAATAACCTTTCTTATGTAAAGAACAGATCCAAATTGATCCAGAAAAAAATTAAAGTTCTTCTTGAAAGTAAAGCCATATTGATCTTGTACATAGTTACATTTTTAAATACTTCCACACTATGCAGAAAAAAAACTTTTCTCCATGCATTGTAAATGGGATAATACTAATTTTAAACTTTCCAGAAAGGAGAAACTTAAAAATTATAATAAAAAACCTTTTTTACAATAAAAACTGGGGCAGAAAAAAGGTTTTTTTTTGGATAAAATCGATGTTAAGCACCTGTCCAGTTGATAAAATCAGCTGATTTGGGATAAAATTCACATAGTTTTGATCCTCATCCAGAACTGTCATGTTGATGTAACATATTTGGATGTCAAATGGATACCAACTCATGTCAAAATTGCAGATCAGATAAGTGCTATAATTTGATAAATTTTAGTTCTAAGACCATTGATGCTTGAGAATAATGGTTTACCTTAAATACTTGTCAAGAACTAAAGAATTCAAACTTCCTTGAAAAACTCGAGAGTTTCTCAGATCAGTATATTCAGAGTTTGTGTATTCATACTTAGATGCATTAACTCTTATCTTATCCTCTTTATAATGTCGAACACTGTCAATCTCTTTGATATTATCAATAATCAGAACAGGTTTCCAAATATAATCTGCCTCTTCTTCACTTAGAGTGTTTCCAAATGTGTTCCTTTTCAGATTTTTGAATTGTAATCTTGGATCAAACCATTCTATCCAGATATGGGATTTTATCTCAAACTCCCCTTCAATCTCGGATATTCTAATGATGTCTTGAATATCAACTGACACTGCAATGTCAGTTTTAAGTTCAACATTCTTCTTTTTAGAACTTGGCAATGGACTTATATTAGAATTGTAGTCTTCATTTATTACAACCTAAGAGAAATGGTTAAAATGATAAAAATCTAAATTTTTTTTTCACAGTCACATCCAGCAAATTTAATTTTTCACCTTCGCACAATCTGCTTCATCTGAGCTGTCTGGACAGTTAATTTGTCCATCACATCTTTTTTCCAAACTAAAACATCAAATAAGTTAAAAGGGTTTACAAAAGTTTTCAAAATTTCAAAATAAATTAATTAAGAAACCTTTCCCAAGTTGTTAAGAATACATAACAGTTAAAATAGTTTTTTTTTAAATTATGACTGAAACCTCCTATTACCAAGCAACAAATTACTCTACCCTTTTAAGGGCATAAACAAGAAACATGCGGAAAAAATATTTAGAATGTGGGTTTTCTGCATCAATTTCATATGGAATATTTGTTCTGTAAATATTTTTCAGCATTTGACCACTAGTTTGTAAACTAAACTGAAAACTTAAAGTTTTCTTGTGGAATAACCTTATACAATCTCCATCTCCACAGTTAAACTCATCCATAGTGCAGAAGGATAGATTGATTTCTGTTGTGTATGCTTGGTTGTTCGAACATCCAGAGTTGTTAAATATTAACCAGTCAGAGTTACCTAGTTGTATGTTCAAAATTGATGGATGGAAATTATTCTATCAAGATATTTATTTTTTATTGTAGGAATTATTGTTATTGCAGCTAGGGTGGTAATGTATGTAATGCTTGGGATCAGATTGACAATACACTTGCTTAGCAAGTATTTTTCTCAACTTTTTGTAACTGTAAATTTGTCTTCAATAAATTAACTTTTTCCAATCTTTATTTTTTTCTATTTCTGTTTAAATTGATATTATACCTAGGAGCAAGGACTCCTGAGAGGCCAAGGATGTTCCAACTATTTCCTCTTCATAAATAATGTTCCACTGTTGTGTCTCCATGTTGTAAACTATATCTGTATCAATGTAACCATTGTATTTTATAAAGGTTTCATCATTAACTACTGAATATATTGTGTCAATGACACTATCATAACATAGCCCTTTCAGTTTAAGTGTTCCAAGTTCCTGAAATTCACAAAGATAACTACTGGTATATGTACAGTAGTTATCCAGGATGTATCCAAGAACAGATGCTGATATTTGTGCGCAGTTCTGGGATGTTCCACCATTTGGTTGTCCTAATATCACAGAGTATTTTGTAAAAAAAATCAAGGTTCAGAACCTCCTGCTCGCTATTAAACCATCTTCCCTTTCTCAATCCTGTAATTCTTTTATTTAATGTCATTCTATTTTTTTAAAGTAAGCAACACATATTTTCACAGCTTCAAAAACAAGCTATTCCCATTAACGTACAATACTACACTGCCTGTGTAGATATCCTCTTGACAGAAGGAAAGATAAGCTTTTCTGATTCAATGTTCAAAACCCCCAATTTCTACATATATGTTTGAGATGTTGGTAAAAATCTAATTTTACCAAAATCAAACTTATTTTAACTATTGTGAATAAAAGCCTAACAACAAATACTATGTTCCTGGCACCCACTCTAGAACTACTGATGCTGTGGGATCATACTCATATTGATAAACATCTTCTTCCTCATTATCATGGTATGGAGCCCAGAGGGTTTTCCTGGAATTCATCATTGACTTATAAGATTCTGATAAGGACAGCCCGGTTTCTAATGATTCTGATCTTGGAAGTTTTCCATTACCAAGGTTTTTACAATTCTTTACTGCAACATCTAAATAAAATTTAGTGTAAACAGTTTTTATTATCTGGTAACTACAGTTAGGACAATTAATATTTGTTTAAAAGTTAAAAACTAAAACAGAAAGAACTTTATCTGCAATAAAGTTAAATATTCAAAATTAATATTTTATATAAACTTCAAGAAAAATTATTTAATTTGCTAGCTTATAATAATTTAGTAAGGATGTCAAAATTGATTGAAAAAAGTAAAAGCAAAAGTGTTGGCATAATTTTCCTATTGTTATACACATCAACTAAAAATTATCTTTTTTAAACAATTGGGTTTTATTTATTAAAGCATGTATCTTCTATCAAGCACTCTAATTATTTTTCAATATGATTGATGTTTTACCCAGATGAAACTAGATGCCCCACATTGTTGGGGTAAGGGGAAAGTGAAAACAAAGTTTGGATTTTCAATGAAACTATCATAATCATTACCATATGTAGCTTGAGCACTTATGGCAAGAAGAAAATTGCTTGATTCCAAATTGCACACACTTTTTGCAGATAAATTCCTGGTCATTTCTTCAGTAGTATTTCCTGATGCAAATGACCATTTTGTGTCAGTCCAGCTTAGATAGTTTCCAGGCGTAGTACAGTCAATACTATCTATTTCTACTGTACCATCAAATATGTTTATATTTCCAATATAGGACTTATAAACACTTTGAGCTGAAATATATACAATTCGTCCAACCCTAATATTTTTTGAAAAAGATTTTGGAGTTGCAGAAAATTTATCCAGCTGGTCAAGGTAGACATTTTGAGCAATACTAACTCCATTTGTCCTGAAGCTGTAAGTTCCAAGATTAGTGTCAATCTTCAAGCAGGAGAAAAACCATTTAGGCAAAGCAATTTTACCCAAATCACCCACCCTTTCTGATATACTTCCAATCCTGAGCCAAATTAAAGTTATGGAGTTTTCATTCGCTTCATTTTTATTTTCCATGTAGAATGCTAAAGTCATCCATTTATTGTCAGTGTTATCCTGGATTTGGATCAAGGTTCCATAGATATTTTTCATTTGAAGATGGGAGAAACAAATAGAAAACACTCCAGATAATTCCTAAAACATGTTTTTGCATTAATATGGAATATATTGACTTGGTATTTTAAGGTAAAGTTAAATCACATAGAATATCAATACCTTATCCATTGTAACATTAAGAGTAGCAGTATCATTCCCTCCCACAACACTGCTAAAATCTATCATCTTGATATATTCTTCCGCTATACTTCCAGAACACATCAGTAGTAGGTAGAGACAAATCATTTTTGCAAATTAATTTCTAAAATATTTTTGGAATATTATTTAAGCATTCTACATCAAAGTTAATTTTGACTTTGGAAAGAAGATTTAAAGTTCCCAGGGTAAAAATAGCTTTTTTATGGTAATGAAATGACTTTGTATTTTTGGAAACCCAGTTTTAACTAGAAAATAGTCTTTAACTTTAAAATTCCATCAACTCAACCTAACATTTCTTAAACCTTCTATATACAGGGGATATTAGTTCCAAAACTAACACTTAGGCCATTTCTAACAAGAGTATATATCTTTAAATCCAAGACGAGTAGAACAAAATTACACCAAATATTTATAAAAAATGGCTAAAACTATATTTTGAAATAATAAATGTCAATTTTAACCCTATCCATGCTGGGGTACTTGAAAACCAGGATATGCTGGGGGGGGGTCAATTTGACCCCCCCCCCTCTAAATTCCATGTTTAATGTCCAAATATGACAAATGATACATGATTGGAAAGCTCTTGTGCTCTACTTTAAGAATCTGCAGAAAAAAATTGCAAATTTGCAAAAATTGAATTTTTATTGCAAAATCTAGTTATATAGTAAAAATTCTTGAAAAAAAAAATTGTCCAAAAAATAATATATTATACATTTTTGAAAAGCCCTTGACCATGTCATTTCAAATATGCAAAAAGTTTTGCAAAATTTTAAATAACCTGATATTTAATCAAGAAAACTAAAAATGTGCAAATTTCCTTTGACAGGTTGTTTGCAAAAAAATTGCAATTTTTTTTCGCAAAAAGCTGAATTTTATCAAAATCTGACAAGTGAAAGTGGGTCAAAACAAAGATTTAGTTTGTTACAGGAAAAAGCAGTGTGCCTGAGGACTCAGGCAGTTAGTATTAAAGCCCGGTTTTAGGCCTAAAGGGAGGGCTTTGGGTATGTAGGAAAAGTCAGAAAATTTCAACAGCCTCAGACCAATACTTTTTGAGTTATGTAAAAAATACTACAGGGGGGGGTCAAATTGACCCCCCCCCCCAGCAGGAATAGGGTTAAAATAATAATAAGGTGTGAGAATTGTTTTTTGATGATTCTTGATTTAATTTTAGAACATATCCCTATTTTGAAACAATTACCAGATTTCAGCTCATATTGCGTTTTCAGAACATATCCCGGTTTTGAGACAATTATAGGAATTCATATCAACGTCAATTTTCAAGTATGTGCGCACTTATGAAACAAAAAACGCGACAATGTTTCAAATTCTGGATATGTTTGAAGATGGAAAACCTGACATTGTCTTGAAAACAATCAAGAGCTTTAATATAAAAGAACTCCTATTATAATCGTGATTAAAAAAACGTTTAAAATTGGGAATTGTAGTCCTCGTCATGTTTAATAAAATGTAAGTTATAGTTTTTACAATCAACTTTTACTCTGGATATGGGCTGGGATCCCAAAAACCCAGTCTTTCCATTTGTGCCCATTTCTAACACTCAGTGTTGGAAATGGGTCAAGCGTTAGTTTTGTAACTAATGCCCCCTGATATGAGTTTGTTAACTAATGCTGAACTTTCTTATAGAGAAATAGGCCACAAGGAAGTTTTTAAATCAGAAATACTACAAGGATGTTTGGCTTTGTCTGGTGGAAATACAGTGTTTGCATGAAAATTTAAAGCATAAATGGAACTAAAAATAATACATGTTCATTTCTGGAAATGTCCGAAGCGTCTGTTTAAATTTATGAGGTTTGATTATGCACTCTTAGCTACACAATGCTTTCCTCCAATTAATTATTAAATATTAAAAAAAGTAGCGCTCTGTGCCTCTGTTCCTTGGTTTCCTTTAATTTTTTGCTACATTTTTTGAGTTTTAGAGGACATTACGCCAAAAATATGAATTTTCTCAATCTACGAGCTCTACACTAACAATAGCTAGACAAAAAATACTTGGGCGGCATTTAGACAAGGAATAGAGTAGCAGACATTATGCCGAGCTTTTATAGTAGAGAGAATTGATATATTTTTTTATTGAAATAAACTGTCAACGTTTTTAAAGGACCCAAATATTAAATATTATAATTCCAATTCACAATTTTGTCATTTTAAATTTTTAAATGATACTCTGTAAATGTCCAGTCAGTTAACTGCATAGTCCATTTAACTTTTCACTTACAATTCCAAACTTTGCAAATTTTGAAAATATAATTGAACTTTAAAATTTGTCTGGTCATTTGTCTAGGATGTCTCAAGATTTTAAGTCATATTTTTATTAATTTTAATTTTAAACATATATTTAAAGATTAGAAAAATAAAGTGATCAAAAAGTTATCAATTTGAAACGCTTGCTCTCTGATCCCATTTTAACAAGTTTAGCTAGATAAATTTTAGTTTTAAGTAAAATTTAATAACCGTGTTTGCATGTTTTTATGTGTGTTTAGAAAAAATGATTTGGCAGAAATTTTAAAATGACAATATTGGAAGTCTAGAAAGAAAAAGATTGTGTGACAAACTTTTGGTTTAATCAAATATATTCTGCAATACCTAATATCTATCTCTCTCATTAAAAAGTGCATGATAAACTATAACAAAAAAAAATATTGTATTCTCTCGCCAAAAAAACTTTAACTCAATAATAAATTATATATTTTAGGCTTTATTAAATTAACAGAAATAATAGTAAAACAAAAATGTTGTCGGGTTTTTGTATACTGTTCATTCAAGCTTAGTGTACAATGGATTGATGAACATTGTACGGATTTAATATATACGGTACAGTGCACAGGTATACTGTAAAGTATGCAGGTATATAAGTATACAGTACAGTGAACATGTATACTGTACAGGTACAGGTATACTGAAAAATATACAGGTATGCTATACAATGAACAAGTATACTGTAAAGTGTACAGGTATACTGTAAATTGTACAGGTTTCTGTAAATTGCACAGGTTTACAGTAAAGTGTACATGTATACTTTAAAGTGTAAAGGTATACTGTATAAAGTACAGGTATACTCTAAAGTGCACAGGTATACAGTAAAGTGTACATGTATACTTTAAAGTGTACATGTATACTGTAAAGTGTACAGGCATAATGTAAAATATACAGGTATATTTTGCACTGTACAGGTATACTATGCACTGTACAGATATACTGCACACTGTAAAGCGTACCGGTATGCTGAACGGCTTAAAAGTATGCTGTAAAATATACAGGTATTATTTGTAGTGCACAGGTGTATTGTACAGTTCACAGACATACTGTAAAGTTGTTGAAGCTTATACACACTTTACAGTGTACAAGTACACTATACAATGCAAAAGTTACTGTACAGTTGTATACTGTACAGTGCACATATATACATGTATACTGAAAAGTGCACAGATATGCTTGCTAAATAAATATAATATTTTTAAAACAGGTCACTTATATAGTTTTAAACACCAGGATTTTCACCAGTAGTTTTTAGAAAAACTCTCAAATTAGATTAATTTTAAGCATTTTTTTATTGTTATGTTACTTTGAAGAAAATTACTTTTTTTTACAGCGCCAGGCCCAGAGTCGAAAATATTGCTTTGCTATTAGTTTTAAAATATATTGAATTTTGTCACGAAAAAATATATAATTGTATGGATTTCATTTTTTAAAGAGCTGAGCAATTTAATTATACCTTTATATTTTAACGTTTTCTATTCCTTGCTCCATGCAATAGAATAGTTTGTCTTTATTGTGAGTTTTATTGAAACCCAAAATTTCAACTTTTAATTTCTTCAATTATTTTTTATTCGAGAATCGAGATTCATTGTTTGTTGTGTTGCAAATGGTGATTACTATTTGCAGTACAAAGGATAAGATTTAATATTTGCAGTACAAATGATAAGATTTAATATTTGCAGTACAAATGTTATGATTTAATCTTTGCAGTACAAATGATAAGATTTAATCTTTGCAGTACAAATGATAAGATTTGCTCTTTGCAGTACAAATGATGAGATTTAATCTTTGCAGTACAAATGATAAGATTTAATCTTTGCAGTGCAAATGATAAGATTTGCAGCACTTCTTTTTCACTACTTTGTTCCTTGCACAGTAGTGAAAGGCATATCTTTCGAATAGAGCTGTACAGCTTAAACTCCCCTGCAACAGAATTCAAAATTAGCATTAGACAAAATACGAAAAAAGTCTATTGTCAAATAATAAAAAAGAATGAAGAGGAATCGTTGGGCGATTAATAAACCTTGCTATAAACATTGAAAAATAAATGTTGAAAATTTTCCTGATCTCAGATTAACCGACTTTGAAAGATGTATAAAACAGGTAAAATGTACAGTGATAACCAGAAAACTCTGAACTAGAATCAAGTAACAAATTTTAAAAGTCCCCAGAGCATGAGATATAGTGATTGTGCAGTGTAAACAGGTCCATTTCACATAATTAGTGATTTGATGAGTGTAAAACTATTTGACCTGTAACAACATCAAATATACTTAGATATTGCAATAATGTCGTCTTTTTATTCTAAAAGAAACAATTCAACTAAATACAAATATCAAACTAAAGAGTTAATCAGGCAGATTTAAAGATATCATTATAAAAGGGGGGGGGACATCATTTTAACTTAACCCTTTAAATGGAAGGTCTGAATCTATGTATGGCTTTAATAGTTTGGGTGCTAGGAAGGGTTGAAAAAATGTCTAAAAAGGGTCAAAAAATGAAAAAAATATTTATTTTTTGTTTTAAACAAATATCAAAGTGTGATTTTTTCACAGACCGGACTTTTTTCACTCTTTACCCTACCCTATAAATTAAAAAAAAAAATTTTTTGCAAAACAAATCCTTTAAATTACTATTCATTAAATAGGACAAAAGGGTTAAAGAGTAGTTTTTGTTCACTATATGTAGCTTTCAAACAACATTTGAAATAAATACAAAAAGTATATTGTACACAGGTACAGCATATAGTATAACGTGTACAGGTACAGCATGTAGTATATCGTGTACAGGTACTGCATGTATTATATCGTGTACAGGTACTACATGTAGTATATCGTGTATATCGTGTACAGGTAAAGCATATAGTATATCGTGTACAGGTACTGCATGTAGTATATCGTGTATAGGTACTGCATGTGTATATTGTGTACAGGTACTGCATGTAGTATATCGTGTACAGGTACTACATGTAGTATATCGTGTACAGGTACTGCATGTATTATATCGTGTACAGGTACTACATGTAGTATATCGTGTATATCGTGTACAGGTAAAGCATGTAGTATATCGTGTACAGGTGCTGCATGTAGTATATCGTGTATAGGTACTGCATGTGTATATTGTGTACAGGTACTGCATGTAGTATATCGTGTACAGGTATTACATGTAGTATATCGTGTACAGGTAATGCATGTAGTATATCGTGTACTACATGTAAACTTCCTTACAGAAAAATAGATTATCTAACAAGGAAGTTAACCTTCCTTTTTAAATAAGTAATGCTTTTAAATCCGTCAATTAACAAGTCCCCAGCTAAAAATTTATTACGTTTTTTTTACCTGTAGTTTTTCGTCGTCTTCACAAGCTGTGTCGATAACATTACGTGTAGAGCGAGTAGCTCCAAAGTTTAGAGTCGATGAGATGGTAGTTCTGGTTGATCCGTAGTTCCGAGTCACAATAGAATACGGAGTCTTTCTTGAGCTGGTGGTTATAACTGGCAATGTATTTGTGTTAAATATCGTTGTTTTCGGATTGCTGAACGAGGAGGCTTGGTTGTAGTACGTTGTAGTGTAGACAGGTGTCGTTGACTGTATGTAGAAGGTTCTTGTTGTTGGCTGGATATTATTCTGGAAATTATTGTTTTGAAAATAGTTAGTTGTTTTGATATTTGAAGTTTGGAAATTGTTTTGTATTTGTGCAGTAAACGAGCTTGTCGACGGTGTGTCAATCCTATCTCTAAATGATCCTCTGAGTTCCACATCAAATGAGTTTTTGACTGAAATAAAAATTTAGAAAATTAATAAAATAGTAGAAATAACTGTGTTTTTGTTCTCGCGTAAAAACAACAGTCATTGCTTGGTTTCAAACAAGAGATGTTCACTTTGTCCAAGATAAATAAAATTAATCCTTTGGACGTCAAAAGATATAGCTAGATATCTGTTTGATCCAGAGTTTTAAGTTTTGACCCCTGTATATCTTTAGAAATGCATTTGTCACAAAATATTTGATGATAAAAGTAAGAGAACACCCATTCCGCTGTACATACAGGGTTATCCACAACGGATGAGACTGTAAAGACGATACAAAACTTTTAAAAAATGACGATTTACAGCTTGATTGTTGGTTTCTGCATTCAATTAAGTATTTTTGTGGTTGTACTAAATGATTAAACACAGAAACAAGCCAGTTTTGGCCTACAAGTTTAACCATAAATGCACGAAAACGAATAAACAAATTCCGTACAATCATCCTTTGTTGATTTTCCTAAAATTTAGATTTTTTTATGAGAAAATTACTAGAACTACAAGAATCAGAACCAAAAAAAGTGAGTCTCCAGACAAAGATGGGTTTCCAAGATATGACGTTCGTATATTTTCCAAGGGGGGGGGAGGCTTACCTATATTAATTGGTTTGCTAACACACTAAAAATAAAATATTCTCAAACTTTTTATAAATGTTTTAAATCTTTTGTTAATGTTTGCACAGCTAAATTAAAACGATATTCGTATTTGCTTTGCAAAATGGTTTCCATTTTTGAACATGCAATTTCAAATTGATTTATAATTTATTAGAAGAATAATTATTATAAAATTTGCTTAAATATGGAAACACAATGGCGGAACTGTATTATAAAGTATATCACGGGTATACATAATTAAATGGCGCGCAAGTAGAAGACGATTATAAATTTTACATTTGTAAATTACCCTGTTTTGGATTTTAAAACACCCTCCCTGGGATTGTACACATGAAACACCAGCTTGTTTCTTCAAAACATATTTTTGTATTATTCTGGACCCCATCCTTGATTAGTAAATTGGCTTAGGTGTGTTCTAAATTCCAAAAAAGTGGGTATTATATTTACATTTTTCAAAAAGGAAACATTCCTTTCAATTCTACAAGTTTATGAATATTTTCCTTGGCGTTTCTGCACCAAGCCCCAGGTCCACACTCTGATCCTTCTGCTGCTGGTCGGTAGGATAAACAGGATCCTGGATAGTAGAATTGACAGATGGGTTGGATAAAAATTCAACGAAAACGATAGAAAAAATTCCAAAATATAAGTTACAAAAATTCCTAAAAAATTTCCAAAACGAAAAAATGAAAGCACTGTTAGAAGAAAAATTTCAGGTTGCATGTTAATACATTAGGTTCCAGATTTACATTTAGAGCATGTTGCATGTTACATTAGGTTCCAGATTTACATTTAGAGCATGATCGCTTTTATTTTCAGTATTTCTAAACAATCTAAAGCAAGAATAAAACAATTTTAAATGGCAGTATTAGAGGGCAGCCCATGCAATTTTCTAGAGGGAATAACAAAAAAATTGGACACTGATATTTCTTTTATTTAAAAATGTATGTTAGCTACAGCTGGCCAAACGGCTAGACCGAATTGGCTGAAATTTTTTTACGTTAAAGCCAATGTAAGCTATTTTTAGCGTGAAAGTGAAAAAACACTATTTTTAACATGAGAAAGAATTTACACTATTTTTAACGAGAAAGCGAAATCATGATATTTTTAACGTTAAAGCCAATGTAAGTTATCTTCAACGTGAAAGTGGAAAGACACTATTTTTAACATAAGAAGTGGATATACACTTTTTTTAACATGAAAGCGAATGTTTGAAATTTTTTTAAAATGCAAACAAATGTACGCTATTTTTAAAGTGTAAGCGAATGTACGCTATTTATAATGTCAAAAGGAATGTGCTCTATTTTTAATATAAAAGCGAATGTACGGCCAGTTTTAACGTGAAAGCGGAGAGAAGCTATTTTAAACATGAAACAATATTTACACAATTTTGGAAATTAAATGCTATTTTTATGAGAAAACAAAATCCAGCATTATTCAAGAGGACTTTTCATACAGTTAAAGCCTAAGTAAGCCGTACATCGATTAGATGGAGCTCTATAAAACTGTTCCCGCATATTCATGGCTATTTATTTATTTTCGCAAATACTGAGATTTGCGTAAAAAAAACATTGAAAAATTTTCAAGACGACATTTGATAAATTCTTTCGATTTATGGCTCATTTAGGGTTTAACTGTAATTAATTTAATATACTAACTTGAGTTTGGTTGATAACAAAACAGCTGTGTACACACATTCTGGTTCTTAAAGCAGGCCCGAGTTCCCTAAGGAACAAATTATTTAATAGTCAGGCGACTATAAGTTTTCAGTACTTTGAATATAATAAAAGAAGAGTTCCAATTTTTGTTAACATAAAATATAATTTTTATAAACTGATTAAAAGAAAGAAGAAAATATGTATGTTTTATGAAAAACTGCGATATACCTTATCTTTAAAACATTGATAATCCAGACTAACTGCAGCGCCAGGAGGATTATCTTCATCAAGAAAGTATTCAACGGATCTAAACCAATTTAGGATTAAACTAAAGAAATGACATTCAGTATTATCCATAAATCAAATTAAAATACAGAAGAATAGATGTCGTCTTAACGTCTTATAATTGGAATCGTCCCGGATGATTTATAATTTTTATATGTTATATGTCTAATCTTTAAGTATTCTTAGTGATGTATATGTACCATTCCGTAACCGTCACAAATATGTGCATTAAAGGGAGTGACCGGCAATATATGGTGGTTTTGTAGAAAATTTGTTTTGGATTATTTTGAGACATGTTAAACGTTTCCTCGATGTAGTGAATGCAAAGTCGACATTCAAAATCATGAAATTAGGTGGAAACGTTTTCAGAATCGGGTTTTTTTAAATTATAAAATAACGACAACAAAAAAAAAGTAAAAATTATACAGGCCAGTCAAAAAAGGGCGAAGAGCGAGATATTGCATACAAAGTATTTTTCTTTAGTAATCTCATTTTTGACAAATTTCTTTAGTAATCTAATTTTTGACAAATATGTATGAAATTTTTGAATTTTATTTTGATAGACCCTTTAACTAAATCCGCGAAACTATTTTTCACTTAAAATTATATGAGTAGAAAAACAAAAGTGCGGGAATATATTATTTTTATCAGACCTTAAAATCTTAAACAGATCAGATGATTAGTTTTGAAGAAAATGCGCGAAATTAAATTCAGAAAATTCACAATCAACTGTTTTTATCATACACTCTTCTAAGCGTACTTTCCTTTAATTCTAATTTAGATATTTTTACCTATCTCGAAAATTGTTTTCTTGTAAAAAGAATTTCTAAAGAATAAAAATCTTCAAAACGATTTTTTTCAAAAATAATAACAAGCTTTTAGTAATAATAAATTTTATTCTTGTTCAAGATTTTGCTTTAATGTAAAGTCCTTTTTTTCAATGAAGATTGCTTAAAAAAAACATAATTTTCTAAGTTCATATTTTTGAAAAAAAAAGAACTAGATCGACAAAACAAGGGCAAAATACAATTTTTGAGACTTTTTCCGAAAAATGAATGTTTCTTCAATGACAACTGTAGGTTGGTATTAGTATTGACTGTATGCACTATGCAGTATGTTCCCTATACTTCAATATATAATGCAATTATAAAGTAGAAAAAAACACTTGTCAATTCTTATTTATAGATTAATTATTTTTTTTATGATTTTACTAATTGACATGCAAAACCATTTATAATATTTTTGAAATTGTATCTTGCATTAATCCTTCCAAAAATCTATCTCTATATATAAATTTAGCTTGTTTGTTTGTTTGTATATCCAATAAACGTCAAGACGGCTGAACCAATCAGGCCCAGATTTTGTGTGGGACCTCACGTGGCCCCGGGGAAAGTTTATGACTGGCAAAATTTTAAATATTACTCTCCATCAAAATTCGATTTTTGAAAATTTTGAAATTTACGAAATGTTTTGTTAAACTCCGCGAACTTTTTATGTTTTTTTTTGTTTTGTACACAAAGAGAACATGTTCACAACTAAAATAAGAGATGGGTGCGAAGCGCCCTAAAAAACTATAAGTCCTTCTATCCTTCTATCTATCTATTTTGTACTGCACTGTACCTGGGTTTATTTTGTAAACACTGAGCTGCTGGGGTGCCAAGGAAAAAACGAATCTGCTTTATAGAACAATCTGACCACTGCATTCCTCTAAATAAAGGAAATATAGAAAAAATTCAGTCTTTGATATAAACTCAGATTTTTAATCAATATATCTTTGCAGCCTGATGATGTAAACCTTTGATTTTTCAAACTTACATTATTTTAAATATTAGAAACTAAAAAATATTCTAAAGTCGTTCAAATTTAAGAGGCTTAAAACTCACTTTCCTATGTTCAACCAATTTCGTAGCTTTTATTATACATTTTATTAACACATTTTTGAAGAATTCAATGAATTAAATTTTGATTAGTTTTATTTCGGCTTAAAGGAACTGTAATTTCTATTTAACTGTTTAACATAAAGATTAAGTATTACAACTATTAATATTATATATTAAATATAATTGTGTTTAAGTATAAAAGTTATATCTACATATTAAATATAATTACTTCACGACTTCCTTTATAATTATACCTTTCCTTAAACCAGAGTTAAAATGAAAACCTACAATTAATGTTATATATTCTCAGTTTAATGTATATTAAACTCTTTAAATTGGGAAAAGTTGTGAATACATTTTACCGATATGATGTATCCAGGACATCCCAGGGTTTATCCATCTTCACTTTATCTCTTATTTTTTATACTTTTTCTGATGAGTTACTGCATATAGTGAATTAACAAGGAAATCAAAAACTTTCTATTTGTACGAACCAATGTATATGATATCTTAAGAACCAACAATAATGACAATAATTTATCTCTATGAAGAAAATTGAAAAAATAAAAATTACTTGGCGTTGCCCATGGAATTAAAAAAAAATACAGCTTGAAAAAAAACTATTTTAGCCTGTTACCCCCGGGATACCCAAGGGTTCCCTCAAAAATGACAGTCAATTTTCAACCGTTTGGCTAGCTATAGCTAACATAAATATGCTTATATGAGCAAAGAGCTAATCCAAAGTTACTAATAATGATAATAAAATATATAATAATAACCTGGACCACTAAGGTATGATGGTGAATAATCACCATCATGAACGGACCCAAGAAGATGACCTAAAATATTAAATGTTGAATTAATTCTTTAAACTATCCATCAATCATAAAATTTTGCTGCAGTGGGTTTTGTTTACATTTTGTGAGAGAAGATTTTAACTATTTGAATTCCATCTTTTTATGTTGACAATTTCAATATGTTTCAAACTTAAAAAAGAAAAAACTTTTTTTTTCTTACTTTAGATACTTTACAAGTTCTATAGCTCCACCATAAGCAGATAAACTAAAGTTCATAAATATAACTTTTTTAAATTGATAGATCGTTGCAGTGCATAAATATATCTATATAAAAACATATAGATCGGAGTGCAAGAATGGAACAATGCAAAACATGACAGTAGCAAGCCGATTTGAAAGTTGTCTTTGTCCTTTGAATTTATTGGAGACATTAAGTCGCCAACCTTCTATCAAATGTATCTTACTTAAAACTGTAACCACAAAATTAACCTATTCCTGGGATTTCCAGAATGTGGTCTGCCTTTTTGTGCTGTCATTTGTCAACATTACGCGGAGATATTGACAATTTGAAAAAATATCAAAATATCAAATGCCAAATGATCAAATGTCTAGTTATGGAGTACAAACGCAGTACGTTTCAATTAGGTCTACAAGCTAGAAATGTAAACAAATAAGAGAAAAATCATAACAACGGATCGTACTGCATTGTTCATCTCAAGACCGGTTAAATGTCAACAACAAAGAGAAAACAAAGAGGAGACGATAAAAGATAAGAGAAGAGAAGAAAAGAGATAAGAGAACAGATGATTAGAGAAGAGAAGAAAAAGAAAAGATAAGAAAAAATAGAAGAAGAAAGGAGAAAAGAAGAAAATAGAAGAGAAGAGTATTAAGTAGAACAGAAGAAAAAAGAAGAGAAGAAAGAGAAGAAAAGATAAAAGAAGAGAAGAAAAAGAAGAAAAGAATAAAGAAAATTAGAAAGAAGAAGAGAAGAAAATAAAAGAGAAGAGTAGAAAATAGAAGAGAAGAGAAAGAAGAAAAAATATATAATCTGGACAAAACTAAATATATCTCAAGTAGTATTGACAGCCCCAAAAAAAGGTAGACCACATTTTGGGAATGCCAAGACTAAGGGTATTTTGTGACTGTAAACTCAAGAATTTTACTTTAAATTTTGTTTTATGAATAAATGCCGTAAATTATGTCAACGATCAAAGACGACCTTCAAGTTGTCTTGCTTCTGTCATGTTTTGTGTAGACACCCTGTATGTTCAGATAGCGATATTAAGAATTACCTATCTCATGAGCAGCAACTATCATTCCTGAGTACCCGCCAGTATCTTCTACAATTGCAACACTGGATATTTTCCTGGCAATTAAAATTTAAAATATTTTTAACGCTTTTTTCAGAGAAAACTTTCAGAAAAGCTTTGGATAACTTTCAGCATTAAATGTTGGAAAAGTGTTAAAAAATTAAAATCTTATTGACATGTGTAGAGCAAATAGACCAGCAGTTTGAAACACAACTTTTCAAGTGAAACATGTTTTTGCATTCTGTAATCGGTGTAATTCATGGAATCTTATAACTATGCTTAGTTTGTATTGCAATTTTTGTCTTTAAACTTTCTTTTGTAAAGCCTCTGAAAGGGGTAGCAAAATATATAAGAAAGAAAAATAACGATATTTACAAATAGAAAAACCATTAGACAAAACTTCAACAGACCTTAGATTCGCTAAATATTAAATTAGAAGCGTTATTCTATGTTTCTAGCTGTAGCCATTCATTTATCAAAGTTTTTAGTAAACTTGCAGTATTTCTGACATAAGTAATACTTTCTTGCAAAACTCATTGGTTCGTATTAAGCTTCGTATTAAGTTCGTATTGGTTGTAACTTTAAACCTTTAAAATACATCTTTTTCGTTCTTCTTATTTTCTTAATTTTTTTTGTGTAAAAATAAATGAATATTTAGTTGAATATTTTGAATATTTTGAATATTTACTTTTGAATTTTAATTTTAACAATATTCTTTAAATGATGGCAGATGCAAATATTTTGACATTTCTAAATTTTTCATTCTCCGTTTTTTATCATAATATTTGAATCTACTACTAATCCTTTTTGGTTTAAATAGTTAAGAAATTTTGAAGCTAAAATATGTGCGCTAATCTATAATATTAAATTATTTTCACATAGCATTATAGTGGAGCCATGTGATTTCTAATTTAAAAAAAAAACATTTTCTACAAAATAACAGCTTTAATATCATGTAGAAAGAAATGTGATGTTGGATTCAATAGTTGTGATTTTAAAAATACAAAAAATAAGAACAAATACAATGTAAATTTGATAAAAGCAAATATTTTCAAAACGAATAAAAATGATTGTGGGAAACCTACCCTAATCTTACGTTCTTGACACACGCTCCTCCAACATATGCGTATCCTGACGTTGAACTGCTCATCACGCCAAACCTTTCCCTGAAGTATATAATGGAAAATGTAAACAATCAAAATGTAAACAATCAAAATGTAAACAATGAAAATGTAAACTAGGAAAATGTAAACAAGGAAAATATAAACAAGGAAAATGTAAACAAGGAATAGATAGATGAATTTTTTCAAAGATAGGAAAATATTTACAAAAATAAGAAATTTAAACAAAAGTAGGAAATGTAAACAAAAATAGGAAATGTAAACAAAAGTAGGAAAAAGTTTACAAAAATATTAAATGTAAACAAAAATAGGAAAATGTAAACAAAAAACGGAACATGTTTACAAAAATAGGAAAATATAAACAAAAATAGGAAAATGTAAACAAAAATAGGAAAATGTTTACAAAAATAAGAACTGTAAACAAAAATATGAAATGTATACAAAAATTGGAAAATGTAAACAAAAAACAATCTAGTAAAATGTTAACAAAAAAATAAACGTTAAAAAGTGAAATGTGTAAAAAATAAAAAAATTGTATTAAACTTAAAATTAATATGGTTTAAAATAAATAAATGTGCATAACATTTACATTGTTGGCTTTTAATCTTTTTTAACAACTTTCCCATAAAACGATAAAAGATTATTCGCTGGAATAAAATTTGCAATGGGTAATATAATATTAATAAGGTTTAAATACTTAATATGGTATATTTTCATTTCAGAATACTAAAAAACTCACATTTTAAATACTAAAGGGGGAGGGGGGGGGGCTATCCTATAAATTTGTCTGTATGAAGAGGTTTCTATGAAAAAATCTTGAATATGTATATGCCCAAATATCTCTAATTTAATAAACTGCTGAGAATATAGGAGATAAAGACTAAACAAAACTAACCTGGCCATATCAAGTCCAGTTAGCAGAAGAACCATATCATACTGAGGATATAAGGATTCTACAATTTAGATGAAAACGTGAATTCTAAAAAGATTTTCAACCATACAACTTGTTTCAAGGTAAAAGTAATATTCGCGAAGGTCACACTCAACACTCTTTCCACGAGCACGGGAATTTTTTCAATAGCACACATTTTTTCCCAAGGGCAAAAACATCTTTTTCCTTGCGGAAATACAACTTTTCACTGGTAGCAACCATTTTTTGCACAAGCATACACAACATTTGCTACAGTGATAACCAGAAAACTCTGGGATAGGAATTACAATGCACAATTGTGCATTTTGAACAAGGCTATTTAAGTTAATAAGTGATTTGATAACTTACAAAAAAAGCTATTTGCTTTGTAACAATATCAAATGTACTGCAGTATTGCTAGTATTGTCTTCTTACTCTACATTTTTCTGGTTATCATGATGGAGCACACACAACTTATAAGAAAACAAATTTCTGCATGTCCCCCCCCCTGGTCCTGGACCCATGTTCCTGCCTTAGTATGGTTACATAAAATATGATTATTAATGTTTTTCAACTAGCCTGAGTTATAGAAATATACTCCCATATCGTGGAGAGCCTTATTCGACTAAAATTAAATACAAAATAAAAAATTTAATTAAATTAAGTTAATTGTTTAAACATTTTAAAAAGAAATAATAAAATGAAATAAACAAAATAAAGAAATAATAGATTTAATAGTGAACTTAAATAAATTATTAAATTTGATATCTAAATGATATGAATCAATAAATTATTTAAATAGATAAAACAAAATTTTATGACTAAATAGGATATCTAAATGATATGAATCAATAAATTAAACAAATTGAATGATTTTAAAGCTGTATTTGAAAAGATAAAAAAAATAATAAATAAATACGATAGCTAAATTTTATTAATCAATAAATTGAACATATTGAATAATTTCAAAAGATTAGTTAAATAAATGAAAAATAAATAAATAATTTGATTAATAAATACGATATCTAAATTCTAAGAACAAATAACCTAAACAAATTAAATAATTAAAAAAAATGTAATTTGAACAGATAAATTTGTTTTTTATATTGGATAAATAATTTATTTTCTACCTCTAATCTACTTCCGCTAAGTATACTTCTGCCCATGAATGAGAAAGAACCTAGAAATCAATCAATCACTAAAATAATGTACTACAGGGGGACCCATCAATCTGTAGAACATGATGACGACTTTAACTATGAGATTATATCTATCTATGTCATTGTAAGTATTATCAAGTGCGAAAAAGTTTTTGCCGGGATTTTTATTTTGATCAATTTGAAAATTACCTGAGGAGGTTCCAACAATTATACCAGAGATATGTAAACTTACACTTGGAGAATACAATGATCTGCAGTACACTTAGAGATAAATATACAGTACAGTACAAATAAATGAGGGGTTAGGGTAAACCACATAGATTATCAAGTACAATAGGTGACAACCAAGGGGCAACAGAGAAATTGACTAATTATACACGACGTCACAAGTGTCAAATATAACAAGGAAAACAAAAAAATTTCTCATTAGTTGACATATTTTCCAAGATTAAATAAAAAGTGTAAAACAGAAAATAAAGAACACATACAATTGCATTATTTTACTGTAAGATAAGCACTTTATTCTAAAATTATCACTATTATTAAAAAATTTTCGGACACACAAACTAAATTGACACTGGTGACGTTATAAGAATACAGGTGTACTGCGAGTGTACAAATTCTACGCTGTCATCTATTGTACTAGAATCTATTTGCATTTCTGTTTAAATGTTAGTGTTGATCCTATACCAGATATGGAGTGCACGAGCGTATTTTGTTCACTGCACTTTATAAAGTCCTAGTTACAGTTTAATAATGTGTATAAACCGACAGAATTCTTTAAAAAAAAAATCTTTTACAAAATTGCGAACAAAAAACTGTGCAAAGTTTCTTAACTTCAAACCTACTAAATAATAGAAATTATGCAAGATTTATCAGGGGGGTTAAAAAGAAGGTTTAAATGCATTGAAAGATATATTTTTAATTCAAATTAAAAACACCGCTGTCACCATTTTTGATTTCAGAAAATATTATGACCAGGTTTTTAATTAAACAGCGCATGACGAAGTAAATTTTCATCTATGGAGACTTGAAGAAGAATTCTGTAAGTTTTGAATATTATAAAATGGTTTTTTTGCCAACTTAGTTAGTACATCAAAAAAATTTTGGGACCAAAAAAAGTTTTCCTCCAAAAAGGTTCCAACATTTCAAAATTATATTCTTTCAAAGCTTACTTAAACTAAACAACATTTATAATCTAAAAAAAATCACTGGAAAAAAACTATTGTTTTTGGCAAAGTGTAAGAGAAGTATCTGAATATTTAGAATATTAAGAATATGTAAAGTGAAGCATTTAAAAAGAAATGAAAAATTTCTTAAGTATTCCTGAAGCGTAGATTTACACCGTTCATAAAGGATGCCACGTAGTTTTTCGTCTGGAAAATGTGCGTACTTTTTTTTGGGGGTTTTTGGTTTTATAGGTATTGAGTCTTTGTCACAAACTCTGATTTTCTAATACCTATATCTTTGCAATCCAATTTCATAGACGTTAGATATTTCAAACTATGAATGCTGTTAGATCAAATAGCCTAAGTTTGAAATATCAAAGGTTTCCAGCATTAGGTTGCCAAGATATAAGGATTAGAAAATTTGAATTTGTGGCAAAAACTCAATTCCTTTATTTTTTATGAATAAAATATTTTTTTATTATATAAGTTACAAGCGTACAGTTTTTGCACTCCCCTACTATTAATTAACTTTTTTAAGGATACAAAATGGAAATCATTGATTCTAAAACGTTTTAAAATTTGAATGATAAATATTGACAATTTCAGTAGTTTTTTAAACGTTTTAAAATGAATTAATATCAAAATTATAATTTAGAAGCCCAAAAGATGATAAATAGATTTTAAACATGGAGGTCAATGTCCATTGGCGAACTAAAACTGAAGGTCTAAACATATGAAACAAATTACTCAACTATTTGTATGCTGTCACTTTGGATCAAAAAGTTGGACCTGTTGCCGGTTAAACTAATCAAAGGAATTGATTCTTTGCCACAAACTCTGATTTCTAATCCTTATTTCTTTAAAGCCTAATTTTGTAGACCTGAGCAATTTCAAACTTTGAATTCTCAAAGATAAAATAATCTAAGTTTGAAATATCACAAGTTTACAACATCAGGTTTCAAAGATATAGGGATTGGAAGACTTGAGATTTTGGCAAAAACTTAGTTCATTTGGAAAAAAAAAAATTTTAATAAGGAAAATTCTTTAGGACGCAAAAGATTGTTAAAAACTTAAAATAAATTATTTACGTTCCTTTTGAATGTTGTAATCGTTTTTCTTGTACAACTCATAATCAGCTAACACTAAAATAAAAATTCTTGATAATTAATGAACATTAATTCTGACAATTTTTAAACAGCTATAACTCTAACAGTTTTTGGAATGTTTAAATTTTTTAAAGATTTGTAATGTTAGTTTTTCATATAAAACAAATCCGCGAAATGTATTTCAAAAATACTCAAATTCAAAAATTCTCAATCCCATAAATGCCATTTCCTCAAGATGGTATTTCTCAAGCAGTTTATATAATTGTCAGAATTAAAATGACACGCTGGATATTTTAAGATGAAAATTGTTTTTGTTTTGTTTTTTAGTTCCCATATTTGTATCTTAGAAATGTAACAAAAAATGGGAGATTTAGTTTTAAATTGGACAAGGGGAAAAATTCAATAGGTCTGCAAAATCAGAAAGAATTGTGACACCAGCTAGATAAAAAGTGGCAAATATCGTTTTCAGGTCGTTAGTTTTTTGATTGATAACGTCCACAGCTCAACCCATTACCACATCGATGAATTTTTAACAATTCATTTTATAAGATTTTTATAAAAGATCCAGAAAAAACTGCAAAAAAAATGTTGTAACAGAATGGTTTAATTCAATAATATTTTCCACTAGATTTATCTCTTTTTGATTATTTTAAAAATGTACTTTTTACCTAAAATCTCCGGATATACAGCGAAGGGAATGTTCCTTCCTCTCCTACTGCTAAAATCCTTGGGATCAAAATCCTCTAGCTCCGTATAGTCTCCAGGATCCTCTACTGCAGGAGCTGGCACCTTTAAAGGGACTGTAAACGTAATTTCATTTTACAGAGGTATGTTTGATTCACAACGGTACATAGTTAAAGGTTGGTCTGATCAACTATTAAAGGGAGTGACCGGCTATGTAAGGTAGATGAACTGAGTATTGTTTTATTGACAAATTTCCGTTGAGAAATATGTTCCTAACCATCTAATTAGATTAATGTATAATTTTTACTTTATTTTTCGTTATCTTGATTTATAATTAAAAAAATCTTATTCTGAAAACGTTTTGAACGTCGAATTTGAGCTCAAACTCAGGATTTACAGATCTTTAAAAAGTTTATTGAGTCTCAAATGAATCCGAAAGAAGTTTTCCACAACACTACATACTCAGTTCAACTACCTTACATAGCCGGTCACTCCCTTTAACTGTTCGATTACTTAGTTCTCACCGTTCTTTGATTCTGCCATGTTAACTAACATTTACAAATATGATAATTTCAATCTTGAAATTTGCATGAAATAAACCTGATTTAGAATAGTATGCAGAGCAAGGGGAAGACATTCAGGACACAGCATACTGAAAATTAAACTTTATATTTTTGCAGATAATGCAGTTATTTACAGTTAAAAAAAGTGAATAAGTGGACAGAGAGGACACAAGAGAAGAATATTGGGAAAAAGCATTATTATCATTAAAAACATGTCACTATCAATTTCTATTCGATTAAAAATTGTAAATTTGTAAAATTAAGAAAATAAAAAATAAAAATTTGTAAAACAAAAATATTTTATTTTTCTCCTTAAAGGAATTGATGAAAAAATTGCAATCGACCCCCCATTAAGTGTGATTGATTTATGACTTTTTAAAAATCAACTAACCGCTCACCAGAGGTTTCTGCGTTTTCACTTGAAAAAAATATTTACAAAAATTTCATTTAACACAATTTCTTTGGAAATTTTAAGCTGAATTTAGATTCGAAAGCTATTACTAGCAAATATAAAAAATCAAAGAAGTTATAACCAAAAAACGGTCCGAAAATCTGTTTTTAACTTTTTAATGTTTTTGATGAGTTTTCTAACTTAAACTTATTTAATTTACATTTTTTAAAGGGCTTTTCAGATTTGAATTCAGCAGTAAATAAAAAAAATCATGTATAACATGAAATTTAAAAACGTGCTTTTTGGTGGCCTTTCGGTTCGGTGATTTCTCCGATACTCGTCAATTCGCAACCGTACGGACGATACTGNGTACTCTTTCTAAAGGGAAGAATGAATGAGAAGTTAGGATGGTATGAATGCACTTAAAGGGAAGAATGAATTAGAAGTTAGGATGGTATGAATGAAGTTAAAGGGAAGAATGAATGAGAAGTTAGGATGGTATGAATGCAGTTAAAGGGAAGAATGAATTAGAAGTTAGGATGGTATGAATGAAGTTTAAGGGAAGAATGAATTAGAAGTTAGGATGGTATGAATGAAGTTAAAGGGAAGAATGGATTAGAAGTTAGGATGGTATGAATGCAGTTAAAGGGAAGAATGAATGAGAAGTTAGGATGGTATGAATGAAATTAAAGGGAAGAATGAATTGGAAGTTAGGATGGTATGAATGAAGATAAAGGGAAAAATGAATAAGAAGTTAGTATGTTCTGAATGAAGTTAAAGGGAAGAATAAAGAGAAGTTATGATGGTATGAATGAAGTTAAAGGGAAGAATGAATGGTGATGCAGGAATGAGGATGCATGAATGGTGCTGCATGAATGAGAGGGCATGAATGAGGATGCATGAATGAGGATGCATGAATGAGGATGCACGAATGGTGATGCATGAATGAGAGGGCATGAATGAGGATGCATGAATGAGAGGGCATGACAAATTAAAAGATAAATGAATGAAAGAGGATAAATAAAATAAAAAAGATTAATGTATCAGGATGTATAAGTGAAAGGATGAATGAGAAGGTATGAAAAGATGAATGAATGAATAAGAGATGAAGAATAAAGCTATATTGCCTGGGGATCAGCTGTGATGTATTCTCTAGGTCCGCTTGCACTAAACGTACATCAATCAAAATATACGTTGGGCCTCAACAAATTAGTCAAAATTAATGTTTTTTTACACACATGCTTATACAGGGTGTACCACTGCACGTATCAATTTTTTGTTAAGTATAAATAAGACACACCACGCTAAGGCCTTTTGTAAATGTGGGCGCCTATTTTATGCTTTTAATATGACCGGAAATTTGGAGAGTTTTGTTTTCTAAATGGTTAACTAACTTTTGACAAAAATATTTTTTGAATTTGTCTTTCAACACCCTGTAAAGTTGTTCATAAAGGTTAGAATTTATTGGAATTTTATAATTACCAAATAAAGATATTTATGCTTATACTATAAACTTTATATTTTTGCAGATAATGCAGTTATTTATAGTTAAATAAAGTGAATATGTGGACAGACAGGATAGCAAAGAAGAATATTGGGAAAAACTATTATTATCATTAAAAACATGTATTTATCAATTTCTATTCGATTAGAAATTGTAATTTGTAAAATTATGAAAAAAAAAAAAAAATTTTAAAACAAAAAAATTATATTTTTTTGCATTAAAGGAACTGATGAAATTGCAATTTAGCCAAATAACGGTCCAAAAATCTGTTTTTAACTTTTTAATGTTTTTGATGAGTTTTCTAACTTAAACTTATTTAATTTTCATTTTTGAAAGGGCTTTTCAGATTTGAATTCAGCAGTAAATAAAAAAAATCATGTATAACATGAAATTTAAAAAGGTGGTCTTTCAGTTCGGTGATTTCTCCGATACTCGTCAATTCGCAACCGTACGGACGATTTTGATTTATTTTTTTATTTCAATATTGTTTTCAAGTGAAAATGCAACGACCACCGTTGGGTGATTAGCTTAATTCGAATGATGATCACCCTTACCCCACTGGAAGGAATACAATTAAGATTAATTTAAGTCATCTATAATAAAAAAAAGATTTATAAAAAACGTGATTTAAAAAAGCAGGGCCACGTCAAAAAGGCCACATATAAATAAACATAAAAAATCAGATTTCTCGGTAAAAAATCATAGATTATTTAAAGTTACAGAAACCAATGGCTTGAATCTTTTAATCAAGAATTTATCATTACGAAAATTATCATTTCTTAAAGGCAAATGTTCATTTTGATTGATAGGTTTTGCGTTACTAAATGTACTTTGGTCAGATTGAACCGTTGTGTAGATTCAAATTAAAGGTTTTTGTTCTTTTCTAATTAAATCTCAAGCGGCCCAGACACCGCAGGTCAGGATTCAAGATGCAGAGGAATAAAGAAAATAATGAAGATGATGATAATATGAAACCCAGCGAACAAAATTTAACTTTTTCTCAACCAAAAAATAGACTTTTGACTTTTAGGTGTCGACTTTTATCCGTCTCATTTCTCGACATTGATCGATTTTTACCACTTTTGGATTTGATTTAAAGAAGCTTACATGGCCAATTTATTCACTATAATTTGCCCGGATAACATTTTTCCGTTCTTGGTATTTTATACTTTTTCATCATCTTTGTATAAGTGGTAAAATAATACCCTGTTCCATTCTAAACGTTTTGTGATAGATATCATTAGTCCGGGGAGAAAATATAAATTAAGACGGTATGAATAATTTGGGATATGGGAGAGTAGTTATAAATGCAGTTAAAGGGAAGAATGAATGCGAAGTTAGGATGGTATAAATGAAGTTAAAGGGAAGAATGAATTAAAAGTTAGGATGGTATGAATGAAGTTAAAGGGAAGAATGAATTAGAAGTTAGGATGGTATGAATGAAGTTAAAGAGAAGATTGAATAAGAAGTTAGGATGATATAAATGAATAAGATAAAATTAAGGATGAAAAGAGAAAACAAAAGAATGGTGATGCATGAATGGTGATGCATGAATGAGAGGGCATGAATGAGGATGCATGAATGAGAGGGCATGAATGAGGATGCATGAATGAGGATGCATGAATGAGGATGCATGAATGAGGATGCATGAATGAGGATGCATGAATTAGAGTGCATGAATGAGGATGCCTGAATGAGAGGGCATGACAAATTAAAAGATAAATGAATGAAAGAGGATAAATAAAATAAAAAAGATTAATGTATCAGGATGTATAAGTGAAAGGATGAATGAGAAGGTATGAAAAGATGAATGAATGAATAAGAGATGAAGAATAAAGCTATATTGCCTGGGGATCAGCTGTGATGTATTCTCTAGGTCCGCTTGCACTAAACGTACATCAATCAAAATATACGTTGGGCCTCAACAAATTAGTCAAAATTAATGTTTTTTTACACACATGCTTATACAGGGTGTACCACTGCACGTATCAATTTTTTGTTAAGTATAAATAAGACACACCACGCTAAGGCCTTTTGTAAATGTGGGCGCCTATTTTATGCTTTTAATATGACCGGAAATTTGGAGAGTTTTGTTTTCTAAATGGTTAACTAACTTTTGACAAAAATATTTTTTGAATTTGTCTTTCAACACCCTGTAAAGTTGTTCATAAAGGTTAGAATTTATTGGAATTTTATAATTACCAAATAAAGATATTTATGCTTATACTATGCATTAGCGTAGATTTTAAAAGAAATCAGTAAACAAATATATATAATTTTAGCTTGGGTGTCTTGGTGTCTTGATGTTTGTCTGCTTGTTTGTATCCAATAAACGTCAAAATGGCTGAAATGATCGGGCCCAATTTTTTTGTGGGACCTCACATGATCCTAGGGTGGGTTTATGAATAATTAAAATTTCAAAAATTAGCCTCTAACAATTTGAATTTTTCATAAAAAATTAAAAATGCGCGACATTTTTTTACAAAATCCGCTAATTTTTTATTTGTTTTTGTTTTACAATGTAAACAAAGAGAAAATATTCACAATTGAAATAGAACATGGGCGCGAAGCGCCCTGATAGCAAAGTTAAATAATATTTCTGAACAAAAATATTGGTATTTACAAAACTGCCTGACCCCATTCATTTAAACGGGTTTCCGATACTGGGTTTCATTACGATAGGATGTTAAGTTTTGGGCTCAGAAACAGGGTATCATTGTGAAAACCAATTTTAGAACCCGGGTTTTACGAATGGGGTTTTGTGAATATCAATATTTTTGTTTTGAAATATTATTTTATTTAGTTCATTCATAATCTTCATTTTTTTCGAATCTCTTAAATCGAAATCTACACAAATGTTAAGAGCCCAAAAAGGAAACTCAGAAGTTTCATTCAACAATACTTTTTTTTAAATTTCGGGCTCAGGTGTATTTTCAGAATGCAGTATGGTCACAATTCCTTGGTCACATCTTTGTAGTTTACATAACCGCACTGTGTTTTGTAAACCTCACGTTTTTCACTGTACGTTTAGATCGTTTAATTCATGGGATAAGAAAATTCGTTTAACCGTTTCCTCACGTTTACTAACTTACTATAAGTGCGATTAAACGTTAAATATCGCATTAATTCACGGCTTCTGTTGTATAATAACTCACGTTTCTTAAGTTGTTTAACTCACGTGAATTGCTACAGTCACGTTTACTATTTTAAAATTCTAAGGGTTCAACACCTGACCCCCCCCCCCCTGTCCTTATCTCAGGCTGGGGTCACTAAGCTGGTTTCTGAAGACCTAGATAAAAACCATAAATCTCAGTGTACTTTACAGGGATTCTACACTAATTTAAAACTAGGCTTTCAGGGCGCTTCGCGCATCTCTTCTAGCAACAATTTTTTTCGTTTAAATTTTTCTTTCCAAGAGGCCATTTTTTCTTTATAATTATAAAACTCAGAATGTTGCTGTTTTTTCTGTAAACATTTTTAGATTTAAACATTTTTTAAATAGACATTTTGTCAGGCAAACTGTCTTACTTCAAACCGTTCATAGACCTTTCTGTAGAGGGAGTTGTCACACAAAATTTAAGCCAATTTCGGTTTTAGAGCCGGCCTTAACATGTTCCTGAGGCCTGGAATGATCGAAAAACTTTTTAAAGAAATCGATTCTAAAAAAACTCATTCTCGTCTTGAATATAAATTTGACTGTTGTTTGTTACATTTTTACACTGAATATAGAATATACTTTTTTTGGAAAATAAAAAATGCGTAAAATATATTCAGTATCATTTTAGGAAAGGTTATACAGGGGGCTTGCACAGGTGGCTAAGGAGGGTCCCCTTTTGTTTCAATTCCTTTTTATGTGCTAAAAACATTATAATGTATCAGGGGTGTAGAACTAAACAAGAATGTTAAAGTTTTTAGGTTTTCAATTAAAAAAATAAAAATGTGATTAATGAAAAATAATTAATAATACATAAGATTGATAATAATAAAACTAATATCGATAATAATGACTATTTTTGAAATGCCTAGGGTAGGGTAGCTACGAGTTTGGTAAGTAAGGGATTACGAAGGTTGTTTAAAATATTTATGCTCTGTATCTAGAAAATGAAAATTTGTTTTTGTATACTGGACAAGTTTATCATTCAATCAATTTCTGAAATTGCTATAGGCGATAGTAATTTTCGGTGTTGTGTCTCGTATAGAACGGATCTAAAACTGTCACAAAAAAAAGGTCAACATTAGTAAATTCCCAAGCATATTGGGACACCCTCCTCAAAAAAATCATATGGTTTGCAATACAATAGTAATTTCCAATAAAACTCAATAAAAGATAATATATTCTGAATTCCTTTAGCTGGCTGAAGTACAAAATCTTCTCCTAGTGTACCCTGCAGGAACAGAAGGCATGAACTTTTTAATATTTCTAAACTTTCAAAATAGTAAATACTATGATAAATCTTACTTTTTACATTTTACCTTAACCTTTGCTTACCCTAACACTGCAGTGTTTGTATCGTATCGTTTAATCTTTAAACTACCTTAAACTACCTTTTTTCAAATATATGAAAGAGTCTTCTAGANTTCCAAATAATGATGAACAATAATAATAATAATAATAATAATAATACCTGTATCCGAGGGATTTTAACTCTATAAAATCAGTGGAGGCCAATCTACTCTAAAAAGAAATGAAAAATTGAATTTTACTGATGGTAGGGTTTCCAGCGAACTAACAAATAACAAGTGCGAAATTGTGTGATATTTCCTAGAAACTTGTTTGCAAAATTTGGCATTCTTTTCGATTTTCGAGAACCGATTTTCCCATTTCATTGGAGGCCTCAATTTATTTTTATCGAAGACACCGAGAATTTAATTTTTATTACAGACCCCATCCTCAACTTATGGGGGACGGTTTTCATTGGGGTGTCATCGGAGACCCAAGCTATTCGATGGAAACCCTTTCTATAGCGACCTCATGCTTTTCAGCCGCCCAGATTTTAATTGGAAACCCTGAGCTGAATTTTGTACACCCAAATATTTTCATTGGAGACCCAAAGAATTTCATTGGCAACCCAATGATTTGTATGGGAGAATCACAGTTTTGCAATGAAGATAACCTTCTGGTCTCAGATGAAGTTTTGGAGGTGTCACATTCTAGAGGTCTCCAACGAACATCATGGTTCACCAATGAAATAAAGCTTGGTGTCTCCGATAGTACTTCAATGATGGTAATTTTTCCCAGACTTTTCAAAAATATTTAAGATTGAAATTTGTGAAGTTAGAAAGTATATATTTGATGTTGTCCTTCTACCTGTCCTTGTACCTGTAAAGTATATATTTGATGTTNTACAGTCCTTCGTCATTTACGGACACATACAGTTCTTCGTCATTTACGAACACATACAGTCATTCGGCATTTACGGACACATACAGTCCTTCTTCGTTTACAGACACATACAGTTCTTCGTCATTTACGAACACATACAGTCCTTCGTCATTTACGGACACATGTATTCCTTCTTCATTTACGGACAAATGAAGTCCTTCGGCATTTACGGACACATACAGTTCTTTGTCAATTACGGACAGATACAGTCCTTCGTCATTTACGGACACATACAGTCCTTCACCATTTTCGGACACATGCAGTCCTTCATAATTTACGGACACATACAGTCCTTTATCATTCACGGACACATACAGTCCTTTTTCATTTATGGACACATACAGTCCTTCTTCATTTTTACGGACACTTAGAGTCTTTCTTCATTTACGCACACATATACAGTCCTTCTTCATTTTTACGGACACATACAGTCTTTCTTCATTTACGGACACACATACAGTCCTTCTGCATTTTTACGGACACATACAGTCTTTCTTCATTTACGGACACACATACAGTCCTTCTTCATTTTTACGGACACATACAGTCTTTCTTCATTTACGGACACACATACAGTCCTTCTTCATTTACGGACACATACAGTCCTTCTTCATTTTTACGGACACATACAGTCCTTCGTCATTTACGGACACATATAGTTATTCGTCCTTTACGAACACATACAGTCCTTCGTCATTTACGGACACATGTATTCCTTCTTCATTTCCGGACAAATAAAGTCTTTCTTCATTTACGGACACACATACAGTCCTTCTTCATTTACGGACACATACAGTCCTTCGTCATTTACGGACACATACAGTCCTTCTTCATTTACGGACACATACAGTCCTTCGTCATTTACGGACACATATAGTTATTCGTCCTTTACAAACACATACAGTCCTTCGTCATTTACGGACACATGTATTCCTTCTTCATTTACGGACACATACAGTCCTTCATCATTTTCGGACACATACAGTCCTTCATCATTTTCGGACACATGCAGTCCTTCATAATTTACGGACACATACAGTCATTTTTACGGACACATACAGTCTTTCGTCATTTACGGACACATACAGTCCTTCATCATTTTCGGACACATGCAGTCCTTCATAATTTACGGACACATACAGTACTTCATCATTTACGGACACATACAGTCCTTCGCCATTTACGGACATATACAGTCCTTTGTCATTTACGGAGACATACAGTCCTTTGTCATTTACGGACACATACAGTCCTTTGTCATTTACGGAGACATACAGTCCTTTGTCATTTACGGACACATACAGTCCTTTGTCATTTACGGACACATTACAATCCTTGTACTTGTACCTGTACCTGTACCTGTACCTGTACCTGTACCTGTATCTGTACCTGTATAAGTAGACAGTAGACCAAGCCTAATGAAAAAATATTGCTCACATTCATTTCTGAAATGTTTAAATATATCAATATTTATTTGGCAATGTTTCCATTTTAGGTTGTTTTATTAAATGAATAATCTAAATAAATATAAAACAAGTTTAATTTTTATGATTTACATGGAAACCCTGGATTTTTGTTTGGAAAAGAGCAGGTTTTTATTCTTTAAAAAACTTTTATTGAATTAAGTTAGGTTTTTTAAAAATATTTTTATATACAATGCATGTGAAGAGGCACCCAACAAATATAAAGTAATAAACTTGGGTAATATGGTGTACCAAAACACCAGAACCATCTAAAAGTTCTAAAATAAACATGGTGTCTCAACAGCTAAACTGAATAATAAACATTTTATAGAATTTGTTGACAACATGTCACATAAATAATTTTATTACAAACAGAGGGCGCGGTTTAAAAGCTTGTAGTCTTAAGTCTAGATTTCCATAGTCTTAATATAAACAATCAAACCAGACTTTTGATTAAGTTTGACTGAGTAAATTCGTGGTTTTATTTTAACCCCAACTCCAAGAAAAGATTACAGTTAAACTGAATTTTGTAATGGTGTCAACGAAATAACTTTAAAAGTTTGAAAACATTTTTATGAGATATTAGATTATGATTTTTGAGCCGAAGTGTTTTATTTAATTATATCTAAATTACAGGGTTACAAACATAGGATGAAACTTTATTGAGAGTTGAGACCTATTAAAAAAATTAAATTGTTAAAATTTTCTGGAATGGTTTATATAATGACAGACAGAAGCTACAGTTTTAACGAAGCCAATAAAAAGGAAATAAGACAAAACAAATTCCGTGCAGTATTTTTTAAAGTCTCATTCTTTATTCTAACACACACTGTAGTATACAACCACTCCATCTCTCTCATCCTTTATTCTGACACACACTGTATACAACCACTCCGTAACTCTCATCCTTTATTCTGACACACCCTATATACAACCACTCCATCTCTCTCTTCCTTTATTCTGACACACCCTGTATACAGTCACACCATCTCTCTTTTCCTTTATTCTGACACACCCTGTACAAAACCACTCCGTCTCTCTTCTTTTATTCTGACACACCCTGTATACAACCACTCCGTCTCTCTCTCTTCATTTATTCTGACTCACCCTGTATACAACCACTCCGTCTCTCTCTTGCTTTATTCTGACTCACCCTGTATACAACCACTCCGTCACTCTCCTCCTTTATTCTGACACACCCTGTATACAACCACTCCGTCTCTCTCTTCATTTATTCTGACTCACCCTGTATGCAACCACTCCGTCTCTCTCTTCCTTTATTCTGACACACCCTGTATACAACCACTCCGTCTCTCTCTTCCTTTATTCTGACTCACCCTGTATACAACCACTCCGTAGATCACTTCTTTTATTCTGACACACCCTGTATACAACCACTCCGTCTCTATCTTCCTTTATTCTGACACACCCTGTATACAACCACTCCGTCACTCTCTTCCTTTATTCTTACACACCCTGTATACAATCACTCCGTCTCTCTCTTCCTTTATTCTGACACACCTTGTATACAACCACTCCGTCTCTCTCTTCCTTTATTCTGACTCACCCTGTATACAACCACTCCGTCTCTCTCTTCCTTTATTCTGACTCACCTTGTATACAACCACTCCGACTCTTTCTTCCTTTATTCTGACACACCCTTTACACAACCACTCCGTCACTCTCTTCCTTTATCCTGACACACCCTGTATACAACCGCTCCGTCTCTCTCTTCCTTTATTCTGACACACCCTGTATACAACCACTCCGTCTCTCTCTTCCTTTATTCTGACTCACCCTGTAACAACCACTCCGTCTCTCTCTTCCTTTATTCTGACTCACCCTGTATACAACCACTCCGACTCTTTCTTCCTTTATTCTGGCACACCCTTTATACAACCACTCCGTCACTCTCTTCCTTTATCCTGACACACCCTGTATACAACCGCTCCGTCTCTCTCTTCCTTTATTCTGACACACCCTGCCGGAGATAACTGGTAACTGGTTTATATGCTTGATAAGATCAAGACTTGGATAACGGAGCTAAATGTCCAAAGGTCTGTCCTACTCCAGGTCCAATACCCGCAATTTTTGGCTTTTTTAACCATTCTCAGACAAATTGGGTTAACTCTGATAATTTAATGGGATTTTGAAGAGTGATACCATTTTAGAAATCATTTAACTTAGTTAAAACAATATTTGACATTTTTTTCGATATTTTTTGTTTTTTGGTGGTTCAAATACTCAGAAATAGGTGAGAATTGCGTCAATTTCATCTTTCGTCAGCTTTCGTCTGGGAGTGGTTAAAGTATTTTTTTGGGGGAAAATGTGCAAGGTATTGGCCCAAAAATCCAGTAAAAAAACGTTTTCGGTGCAATTTCTCCTTAATTCCTCTTGCTTTAACAAATGCAAATGCAACCTTCAAAAATGTTTTTATAAAAAGATGCCCATATTGATGTTAAAATTGCACAGCTAAAAAAAATGTTTAATATCTTCGAAGACGGCTGAGCTTTGGACATTTTAGTTAAGAAGTTTAGCAACGTACGTAAAATCCCG